GATGATGATGTTTACTCTTCAAATAAAATCAAAAAGAAAACGTCTGGTCGGCAAATGCTATTAGTTCCATGATTTTGTTGTTAATTCCCTTAGAAGAAGAAGAGGAAAATATCATTTCTATAGCGTCTCTCAAGATAAAAATCACGAGGTGCTTAGCTCGTGGGTCATTCTTGTTGAACTTTTTTCATTTATCAAATGCCTCACCAATAGTTACCACTCCAGAGGCTTTCTGTTTGTTGTCAGGAAGAGTGCTAGCCTTAGCACTGGTGGCAGCTTCATATTCCTTGGTGTCTGGTTTTTAAGTGGCTTATAAGATTTGCTGTGCTGTAGCTTGTTCTTTTTTTACCCCCTCGTGGCACTTTTGCTGAACATGCGTTACAAACAGCGAGTGAATCATCTTTCTCAGACACGCTATAGAAATCCCACACGGGTGAATTCACCGCCATGTTGATCCAGTGTGTTGACTTGCAGTTGTTGATCTGTGACATCACTTACATGCGACAGAATCTTGCAGGATGGGCGGGGGTGAGGAGGAAACGTGATGACAGGATTGTTTGGTAGAAAACCAAAGTGTGAGTGCGCAGTTTGAGTTTTTTATTAACGGTCCATTTTATCCATGGATTTTTAATCATCTGAATTATTAGTATGACGTCATAATTGTCTTTTATCGGCCGATAATTATCTGTAACCAATAATATCGTGCATCCCTAATTTTGATGGATATTTCCAGAAATGACTGGTAAAAACTACACATTGTCTCTTTAAGTTGACAGCAACACCCATGGGAAGTGTTTATGAACATCACAGCAGTGAAAAGAGAGGAAATATTGGTCGTATTCTTCTGCTGCTCTGACCACATTCTTGTTGTCTGGTGAATGAAGCTAGCTAAACTCAACACTGGCTCTAAATTTTTAATCAAGGTGCTTACAACCTTTTCTAATTTGTTGGGTTGGTTTCAGTAACCCCGCCCCACCCCAACCAACAAAGAGTCTGAGCCTCTGACACACCAGTTCTTCTGACCCAGAGCCGCCTCAATAGAAATGTCCCTCCTGTCTCTGTCCATCTCTCCATCTGTCCTCTTGTTTGGCTCCCTCCAACCAAGGACAGAGACCTCGACTGTCAGCAGAAACTCTGAGCTGCCGTAAATCACCTTCATGCTTCCACTTGTGTGTGTGTGTGTGTGTGTGTGTGTGTGTGTGTGTGTGTGTGTGTGTGTGTGTGTGTGTGTGTGTGTGTGTGTGTGTGTGTGTGTGTGTGTGTGCACGCGATATGCATGTGTTAGCTTTGTGAGCTGTGCATGCATTAGTGTGTGTGGGGGTGTGTCATTAGCACTACGTTAAGCAGGCGAGCGGGCAGCAGAGAGCTGGCGTGAAGCTCTCACTCTGACCTACTTTCCCCTCGCCTCTCCACATCTGGCGCCGAATGAATGCACCAGATCAAATGCCAGCCATTCCACTCACTTTCACATTTCTCTCTGCATTCCGCTGTTTTTTCTGCCTCAGACGTGCTTTTGTGTTTGATCACACACAGGTGTGTAGAGGGTTCCCATAATGACACTAATTCCCAACTTTGTTCATGCTTTTCTTACTGCTTGTGTAGCCATTGGGTTAGCAGAGTCAAACACCGGGAATAGAGGAGTCACAAATCCATCAGGATCCAGAGTGTGTGCGTGCATGTGTGTGTGTTTATGCATGTGTGCATGTGCACACACACACACATTAGCAGATGCAACCAGCCTCCAATTCATTTTACAGAGCAGGAAGCTAGCTCCCACCTCGCTAACGGCTCCCATTATGAAAACTAATATGGAAACTCAACTCCTTTGGGTTTGTTTGGCTGGTGCGCTGCCGTGAGCTAGGTTCAGTTTCCTCCTGTGGCGTTAAAGCCAAACTGTGGCTACGACTTATCTGGAACAGGGCTGTCGTGAGTTTTATCTTTTATTAGAAAATCCTTTAGATTTTGTAATCACAAATAACAATTTCCCATTTGTCTGTTTAAGTGACACTGTTTGTCTTTAGGGCTGTTGAAGCAGAACTGCTTATGGAAAATAACATGTCCACAGCACAAGATGGGAATGCAAAGAGATAGTGTCAACAAAAGAATGTAAACTCAACCCATCACTCCTTTCTGTCAAACACAATGAAAGGGTCCTTTCACCGAAACAAGGTTCATGCTCAGGGCTCGTCCTGGGGAGTGGGTGCGTGCGCACACACACACACACACACACACACACACACACACACACACACACATTCAATGCTGGTTGCTGGGAGACTCGAAGCCTATCAAAGAAGTTGCTGGTTTGTCCTGTTGCAGTCTTGGATGCAGAGGCATCTGTCAGGCTGTCGGAGGGAAGCCCTGGCCTTGCACTTAGAAGTGAGGAGAAGAGTAACGGATACAAGATCTAAAATAAGCTTGGGGTTCAGAAAGTTTCTTCTCATACAGAAGCTACTGTTGGTGTTTAGGGAGGTCACACTTAAGATAAACTTCCCCTAAAACCAGCCCACACTGACACACACAAACAACTCCCAGTGTGTTTCATTCTTTGTGTTTTATATTCAGATGATCTAATAAATAAATCCAACTCATCCCAGACGCTCGGTTGTGTTCAGAGCAGATCGTCAGCTTCTCTTGAGTTACACAACAATCATGAATGGGTCTGGAAGTGGAGCACCACACCCTCGGTTCCTCACGTGGAATCCCCCATCGCTGCAGATTTATGACCCTACGGTTAGCTTCACACATACACAAAAAAGCAGAGTATGACTGTCATGCAGACGATATCACGGTTATCTGAAACTGCTATGATTATACAACTATTAGAGAGAGGTCTAAATTCAGCATGGAGGAGAAGACCACGACTGTTTGCTGACAAAGACGCAGCGTGTCACATGCATCTGGCCTAATGACTTGTATAATTAACCAGGGCAGCGGCCAGAAAAGCGTTTGACATTGTGGGAGGGCTACAGAGGGTACTCTGTGTGTTTTATGTAAGGTTGCTGCCACGTTTGAGCTCAAATCAGTGCAGACAAACATTCTGCTATTGTTTGAGTGCATATAAAACAGCTGTTAGAGGACTCCCTCTGTCCACTCCCTGGTTTAGGCTCCGTTGTTTTGCATGTGAGATTTATTCAGAGCGTGCAGACCAGTTCCCCCTTCTTATTTAGGCTCTGGCTTTGGGAAAGGACCGCTTCCTCGTGCTCTTCTCCAGTTCTCCTCTGCACGCTCTCAGACTTTTGATGAGGAGGTGTTTGTGCAGAGTTCATATAGATAAACATTGCTGCTAAAGATACTGGGTTCAAAGGGCGAGCCATAGATTAAAGTGAGTAAAAGGACTAAACAAATCGGTCCCTTAAAGAGAGGAGTTACGTTGCAGTGATGTTGCATCTGAGACGACAGAGACTCCAGGGTAAACATGGTCAGCTACACGTGATGCTCACAGCTCAGAGGGGATTACGAATTGCTAAGCAGGGCACTGGGACACGAGCATTATCACTAGTGTACGAGGCGGTTTTCCCTGTTTACAGGTCCACTCTGATTGTTCTCACTCATATAAACAAAAAGCTTGTCAGCATGAGTCCAAGCCCCATTTCTGGGTGTCTTTGATGCAAATTGTCAGCTCTGACCGACAGTAAACTCCCAGGGAATGCAAGAACTTCCTGTTGACAGATGGTTTCAGAAAGAGGAAACGGGGTCTGGCTGAAGGCTGCTGTCGTGTGTGTCCATCCACGGAGCCGGAGCCCTGGCTGGACTGGTGGTGTGAAGGATCATAAGCAGCTTGCTTTAAGTTGGGCAGCAGTGACTTGATGTTGTTGGGAGCATATAGCTGTTGCAGTAATAGGATTTGAACCAGCAGCCTAAAGCCTTTGTAGTAAAGCTGGCTGCCCTGCTCACACCACCTTGGTGGCCCAGAGAAGGAGAAGCTGGTTGCCCCTGCTCTTCTTCTGATGTCATCCTCTGTTTTGCTCAGGATTCTCAACAAACTCCTTTTTGTGCTTGAGGTTCTGAAACCAAATCTTGAGACTTTACGGGTAAAACCAACATCTTTTTGAAAGTGCACCTTATCATTGCAACAAAAACAGCACCCAACCCCCTCTCATTATGTCCCCATGGCATGCCTTTGCTAGTTCAGACTGACCCAACAAGGTGGGTTTGTGTCCGTGTGCACCAGCAGCAGGCTGCTGATGTCTGTTGCTGCTTGTGGCACGGCACCGTGTCCCCATTACGCACAGATGTCCTGTTGGCTCTGCTGCTACATTCACTGCTGGCTCACAACAGCCCCCCCCCCCCCCCCCCCCCACCCCCCCCACCCCCGCTTCCCGATCCGTGTCTTGTTTAAAGGATCTCAATGGGCAGCAGCCCTGCCTCAGGCAGGCAGTGTGAGCGTGGACTCGGGAGAGAACGTCAGTGACAAGAAAAACAAGAAATGAATTCCTCTGCCTCTTTCACTCAGCCTTGACCTCTTGACCATAATCCACTGAAAAATCTGTCTTGATGATTAGAACAGCATACCTTTCAAATAACTGGAAAAATGGTGGGTTTCAGAGTTTTTTAGCAGCGTAGTAGAACCACAGGGGAGCATTGTTTAAGGACCGAACCACGACGATGCAGAAAATGATCAGTGAAGGGGGCAGTTCTATTATTGTTGTTGTTAATATCATTGTTTTAATGTCCACAGTTCAGCTAGGGCTCCTACCAATATCATTTTACCATGTCAATAAATTCAATAGAGCTCCGGGAGTTGATGTCACTTCTCCCGGCATGCAACAGTTCAAATCAAAACGGCGCCATCTTGGCAGGTAGAAGCCGGCAGCTGGACTATTTGTTATTGTCAGAAAACTCAATCAATCGGGAAATATGGTAGATTCCTGTTGTGCCCCAGGATGCAGAACAGACACGGACGACATAGGGAATGAGCCATCTACAGGATTCCCAAGATCCGGAATGCCGCAAACGTTGGATCATTGTAATAAAACGCGTTAGTGACCGGGCTTAAATGAAACTGTGGGATCCCGAGAGTAAAGGTTTTCACTTATGCAGCGACCACTTCATATCAGGTACTTAAACCAACGTTTCCTCAACTGTGTGTGGTGTTTATTTTAAATGCTTTTATTACGATTCTTAGTGGGCTTCCTAAACTTATTTTGGCGTGGCTTTTTCTGTCTTATTACTCATAGCAACAAGTAAACATCACGTAAAACGTTGCCTCGTGATTTCTGCGTGCTGCTGTTTACGTGTTTTATGATCACAGCAGTTAACCGGCTAAGCTGTATTTCATTTTTAAGCAATGGTTGATCAGTTGTCAGATCACACATAAAAAGCACTTTGGATTGCTATTATCTGTCTCACCGAGACAGATCCTGAGATGCTCCTGCCTGACATATTTATTTTATTCACGGAAAACAATCAAACTAGTGATTTCTCTTGGCGTTCAGTTTATACATTCAAACAGCACAGCGCTCTATTTAAACTACTTACATGTAAATCTGTCATTTGTCCATCCATTTTCATCCGCTTATCCGGAGACGGGTTACGGGGGCAGTAGCGTCGAGAGGCCCAGACTTCCCTCTCCCCAGCCGCCTGAGCCAGCTCCTCCGGGGGAATCCCAAGGGGTTCCCCGGCCAGGACCGGTAAGAAGTCCGCTCCGACAGCTTCTGGCGTTTTTAAAAAGTATCCCAGGGGCACGGTAAGGGTCGGAGATGTTTAGTCTGTTTAATTTCTGACTATATAAAACGATTTCTTCGGTTTTAAAGTGTGAAGTAAACTCAGACGAAGAAAAATCCAAGCCGATCCCCGTTCACGTTCATGGTTAAGATCCGTGTATTTTTAGCTTCTTTTACCTGCCAATATGGCATCTACTAACTAGGGTTGTCACGGTAACCGGTATAGCGGTAAACCCCGGTAAAAAAGTTGACAATAAAAATAACCGTCCAGTTTTTAAAAAACTATATTATCTCGGTGGGTTTACCGTGGCCGCGGTTTCGGCGCGATGACCCTTACCAGCCACCGTCGCTTCAGCTGAAGTTCCCGCTGCGCGCACACGCACTTTTTAATTTGCAACGGCACCAAAACTTTGAAGCTGAAATAATGGCCGAAGGAGGTGACGGCAGCGCCCAGGACATCCATCAGCCCTCAAAGAAGACTAAATCGGAAGTATGGGCATATTTGGGATTTCTGAAAAATGCTGAGGGACAGTTAATAGAAGACGGCTATCCCGTTTGCAGAACATGCAGGAAACAAGTGTCTGCAAAAGGCAGCAACACTTCAAATCTCATGGCACATCTGCGTGACGATCACCCACGTCTCCACAGCCAGTGCAAGGTAAGATAACATTAGCATTTTAGCTGAAATGCATGACGTGAGGACTATTGGTTGAGGGAGAATGCAACGAGTCACTATATCCTGCATCCGCAGCGTCCTCTGCCAGCATTTAAACCGTGTCACGGACACCCTGTTGCTGGATGAAGCATCTTATTTGTTCATGATGAAGAGAAATATACAATTAGTTCCTTGTCATGGATTTGTTTACTTATTCAATGCCATTTATACTTGAACATTTGGATTTGATTACATAGTGTAGTAGTTATTTTAGTAATTTGTTTAAAGTGGCTATTTATTTTAAATACATATTTTTTAAGGTTGACTTGTACAGTGCTCAAGTCAAGTGTGGACTGGAGTTTTAGATTTTCATTTTGATAATGAAGAAAACAAGTATATGAGAAAACAAGTGGTGTTTCTTTGATTTGTTTACATATTGTTTATGTTTTGAATGTTTGGATTTGTATAATTTAAACCTGCACTGACTACTGTAACAAGTTCCAGAAAAATAAGCTATTTGTTCCTTTACTTGTGAAAAGTTGCACTTTTGCTAAGGCTTTGTGTTATTTTAGGTTTAATAAACACTGTTAAACCTTTTCAGAACTATTTCAGTTTGTGTAGAACAGGACTATCAATGCTTTCTGAACATATGCAACACCGTTTAAAAAATACCGCGATAATACCGAAAACCGTGATAATTTTGGTCACAATAACCGTGAGGTTAAATTTTCATACCGTGACAACCCTACTACTAACTCAGAGTCACGTGGGGTCCGGAGCTCTATTGTGTTAAAAAATGAAAAGGCTGGCGACATTCAAATCCCTGACTCAACGCCATGACAGCCCCACCTAGTGGGCAACTTTTGTTTCTGTGCATTCCTGTAGTTATCGTCCATTTATCGTAAACAAGGTGAGATCCCAAATAAATTGTGATATTGATTTTAGGCCATATCGCCCAGCCCTAAGTTCAGCCAACTAACAGTACACTGTGGCAAGCTCTGACAGAATCATGACTTATTCTTTTGAGACGGACTCGTGAACACATTTTTGTCACAGCTTCTATGGATGAAAAGCTTCCAAATGCCTTTGATGCAGCAGCTGAATTTATCTGAACGTTGATGATTTTCTCAGCCGTTCCCTCCAAATTTCACACACACACACACACACACACACACACACACACACACACACACACACACACACACACACACACACACACACACACACACACACACACACACACACACACACACACACCTCACTATCCTCTGTGTGGGCGTTGTTTTTGCTGTGGCCACTGGCTCTGAAAGAGGGTGTTGATGTTTGGTGCATGGATGCAGCAAAGCTCGACACCCCCTAGTGGCAGCGCTGAGTCGGTGCACTGTGTTCCAGCAAAGGAAGGAGGGTTGTTTTCGGAGCATCAGAGGGTTTCACTTGTGACCGTGAATCTGGATATGATTACAACTTTAAAGGCTGAAAAAGTATTGACTTTATGTTTGTATTAATTAGAACTGGAGCTGTATTTGTGTTATTCATTTAGTTTAGTTTCTCATCTAAAGACCGATTAGTCAGAAAATAAAATCCACTTAAGTAGCTCGTTCATCATCGAGTTGGTTGTGATCTCAGACCCTAACTTCTTATGTTTCCTTTTTCAGTTCTGCCCCCAGACTGGAAGGGGGCACCGCCTCATCCACGGCACAGGGGAAGAGTGGCGCCCATAAAATCTGCCTGGTGTGTTCTGATGAGGCTTCGGGCTGCCATTATGGCGTTCTCACCTGTGGGAGCTGCAAGGTCTTCTTCAAGAGAGCAGTGGAAGGTGCAAAGACATTATTATCTGTCCTCGTTACTCTGCCACATACCAACTCCAAACCTATTGAGAGTTGCAGTAATCTGACAGATTGTGTGTGACTCAGGTCAGCATAACTACCTGTGTGCTGGGAGGAACGACTGCATCATCGATAAGATCAGGCGGAAGAACTGTCCCGCTTGCCGCTTCCGCAAGTGTCTGATGGCAGGGATGAACCTCGAAGGTACAAATAATATTATATACAGGTGCTGGCCAGTAAATTAGAATATCATCAAAAGGTTGAAAATATGTCAGTAATTCCATTCAAAACGTGAAACTTGTACATTATATTCATGCAATGCACACAGACCAATGTATTTCCAATGTTCATTACATTTAAATTTGATATTCATAAGTGACAACTAATGAAAACTCCAAATTTGGTATCTCAAAAAATTAGAATATTCTGAAAAGGCTGAATATAGAAGACACCTGCTGCCACTCTAATCAGCTGATTTACTCAAAACACCTGCAAAGGCCTTTAAAAGGTCCCTCAGTCTTGTTTTGAAGGCACCACAATCATGGGGAAGACTTCTGACTTAACAGCTGTCCAAAAGACAATCATTGACACCTTGCACAAGGAGGGCAAGACACAAAAGGTGATTGCTGAAGCTGGCTGTTCGCAGAGCTCTGTGTCCAAGCACATTAACAGACAGGCGAAGGGACGGAAAAAATGTGGTAGAAAAAAGTGTACAAGCTCTAGGGATAACCGCACCCTGCAGAGAATTGTGACGACAAACCCATTCAAAAATGTGGGGGAGATCCACAAAGAGTGGACTGCAGCTGGAGTCAGCGCTTCAAGAACCACCACGAGGAGACTCATGAAAGACATGGGATTCAGGTGTCGCATTCCGTGTGTCAAGCCACTCTTGAACAAGAAACAGCGCAAGAAGCGTCTCGCCTGGGCCAAGGACAAAAAGGACTGGACTGATGCTGAGTGGTCCAAAGTTATGTTTTCTGATGAAAGCAAGTTCTGCATTTCCTTTGGAAATCAAGGACCCAGAGTCTGGAGGAAGAGCGGAGAAGCACAGAATCCACGTTGCATGAGGTCCAGTGTAAAGTTTCCACCGTCAGTGATGGTGTGGGGTGCCATGTCATCTGCCGGTGTTGGCCCACTCTGTTTCCTGAGGTCCAGGGTCAATGCAGCCGTCTACCAGGAAGTTTTAGAGCACTTCATGCTTCCTGCTGCTGACCAACTTTATGGGGATGCAGACTTCACCTTTCAACAGGACTTGGCACCTGCACACAGTGCCAAAACCACCAGCACCTGGTTCAAGGACCATGGTATCCCTGTCCTTGATTGGCCAGCAAACTCGCCTGACCTTAACCCCATAGAAAATCTATGGGGTATTGTGAAGCGGAGGATGCAATACGCTAGACCCAACAATGCAGAGGAGCTGAAGACGACTATCAGAGCAACCTGGGCTCTCATAACACCTGAGCAGTGCCACAGACTGATCGAGTCCATGCCACGCCGCATTACTGCAGTTATTGAGGCAAAAGGAGCCCCGACTAAGTATTGAGTGCTATACATGCACATTCTTTTCATGTTCATTCTTTTCAGTTGGCCAACATTAGAGAAACAAACATTTTTTCATTGGCCTTTAGAATATTCAAATTTTCTGAGATACCAGATTTGATGTTTTCATTGGTTGTCACCTATAAATATCAAAATTAAACGTAATAAACATCGGAAATACATTGGTCTGTGTGCATTGCATGAATATAATGTACAAGTTTCACGTTTTGAATGGAATTACTGAAATATTTTCAACCTTTTGATGATATTCTAATTTACTGGCCAGCACCTGTAATGTATATAATCATGTTGTCCTCTCCTCATCCTCTGATTTAACGCCTTTCTTCCCCAAAGCTCGCAAAGCCAAGAAACTGAATCGCTTAAAAGGCGTCCAGAGCAGCAACCCCCCCGAGCTGATGCCTTCGCCCCCCATCGAGGCCCATTCCATCGTACCCAAGTGCATGCCGCAGCTCGTCCCCACCATGCTGTCTCTGCTCAAGGCCATAGAGCCAGACACCATCTACGCCGGCTACGACAGCTCCCTCCCTGACACCTCCACCCGCCTCATGAGCACCCTCAACAGGCTGGGGGGGCGACAGGTCATCTCTGCCGTGAAGTGGGCCAAGGCTCTTCCAGGTGTGTGTGTGTGTGTGTGTGTGTGTGTGTGTGTGTGTGTGTGTGTGTGTGTGTGTGTGTGTGTGTGTGTGTGTGTGTGTGTGTGTGTGTGTGTGTGTGTGTGTGTGTGTGTGTGTGTGTGTGTGTGTGTGTGTGTGTGTGTGTGTGTGTGTGTGTGTGTGTGTGTGTGAGAGAGATAAATATTAACTGCAAGCTAAAACCTTCTTCTGCCCCCCCCAGGTTTTAGGAACCTGCACCTGGACGACCAGATGACCCTGCTGCAGTGCTCCTGGCTGTTCCTCATGTCCTTCAGCCTCGGCTGGAGGTCGTACCAGCAGTGCAACGGGAACATGCTCTGCTTTGCCCCGGACCTTGTCATTAACGAGTATGTTCTGTTTGGTTTATTCGTGGGATTTCTGTTTAAATCAACATGAGTCCGATTATAAAGCACGAATGCTCCTTCTGGGTTCAGACCACCAGCTCTGCTCTGGTTAATAACAGAATGAAAATCAGCTGCAGGTGGTTGTTTTATGCAGGTGTTTTGTTCTGGCTTGTTGTTTAAAAGTGACCAGTAACACTGAGTTTTTGTGAATCTGGACCTGAGACGACTTGTGAACCGGTTTTTCAGCGAGCGGATGAAGCTGCCCTACATGGCCGAGCAGTTTGAGCAGATGCTGAAGATTTCCAGCGAGTTTGTTCGCCTGCAGGTTTCTCATGACGAGTACCTTTGCATGAAGGTCCTGCTGCTGCTCAGCACAGGTCAGAATCTTTAACCAGCACTTTGTTACGGTCCATCCTATCAGTAAAAGGTTTGTCCCTGACTGGGTACGTGTGGCTTTGTCTCCTGCAGTACCCAAGGACGGCCTGAAGAGCCAGGCGGTGTTTGATGAGATCCGCATGTCATACATCAAGGAGCTGGGGAAAGCCATCGTGAAGCGCGAGGAGAATTCCAGCCAGAACTGGCAGCGGTTCTATCAGCTCACCAAGCTGCTGGACTCCATGCACGAGGTACAGCGAGGGAGAACACACTCACACACCCCTGTAACCAGCTGATGGGAGCGGTATTGTTGCATTTGGCGTGTCTGAAAAGCTTGTTAAATATTTACGTGCTCTCGTGTTTCCTGTCTGCAGATGGTCGGCGGCCTGCTCAGCTTCTGTTTCTACACCTTTGTGAATAAATTCCTGAGCGTAGAGTTTCCCGAGATGCTGGCGGAGATCATCAGCAATCAGTTACCAAAATTCAAGGCCGGGAGTGTCAAACCGCTCCTCTTCCATCAGAGATGACTGTCTCCTGTAGCAAACACAAGGCCTTAAATCCCACCCCATCCACGCTAGGAGAACCGGAGTGACTACCTAACGCCAGGAGTTTTCAGGCGCCAGAATGCATCCGTGTGAAGCGGGCTGGTGGGATGGGGCCAGGCGGCCAGAGCGCCACACGTTTTGCTTTGTTTGAGATGTTAATAAGAGTAGGAAAAGCTTTGCTAAAGCTAATCGCAAAGAGAACTAGGCTAACATTAATGTCGTCTCAGGTGTCTTACTTTCAAAACTAGTACAAGATCTAAAATAGATGCAACAATGACCTATGTACAGCTTCTGATAGTATTTTCTACATTTTCAAATTTGCGACAGTTTATAGAACTTTTCCAGTTCACTGTTACCTAAGATGGTAGCGAAGCTTGAAACTGGCTCTTACGAAGGCTCCTTGTGTTCTTCTGATTTCTGGTTTTTATAGGAGGAGGTTGTAACGATGTGTTTTTTCTGTCACACAGAGCAAAAAACTCAGTTTTTCTAGTGATTTCAAAAAGCATCTTTCTTTGCTTTGATGATGTAACTATTAACATAGTTCTGTGGGCCTGTTGGCTAACGTCCACCAATAATAATAATTTCTCCCACAAGCTGACCTCTTCCAGGTTTACACGTCGATTACAAAAGGGAAAAAGATGTGCCTTTTTTTTTTTGCTTCAGAAAAAAAAACATCTAAGCCATTTTTTTCCTATTGTACTCCAACCTATCATCATCTACCTTCATCGTAAGTTGATTGTACTTTTTTTTTATATCACACACAGTTGCAGCTTTCCATGTTTTTTGTTTTTATAGTGGCTGTTTATCTTCTCAAGTGGCAGCTCGGTTTCTCCTCCACGTGTAGAGGTGGTTTTATTGCTAAGAAACAAGATATTTAGCCTGCTTCCTTTTGTGAGAACTCTCTCTCACACACACACACACCACACACACACACACACACACACACACACACACACACACACACACACACACACGACAGACTGCTGCAGGAGTGCAATTCAAACACGCTGCACTCTGTGAAAGGCTTTAAAAGACTGTGAAGGAGAGACTGCTGTCCTGTGCCGGTCTTTCATGTGAGACTTTAGATCAATTCTAGAACATTTTCTCTCCGCCCCTGTAGTCTACTTACTCTAGAACGTGATGGGTACAAGCGTCGGCCAATCACAAGTCAAAGGGCATGTATTGTTGTGCTTGCAAGTTTATCGTTTTTGAATATTCAGGAGTACTAATTAGTGTAGTTTTGTATTACGGCTCAAACTTGTTAGAAAATAACCGTCCTCCAAATCTTCTGTTGTTTATAACAACCTCTTTCCCGATTCCACTGAAGACTCCTTCTGCAGTATACCCTCTCCTCCAGTGTGTGTGTGTGTGTGTGTGTGTGTGTGTGTGTGTGTGTGTGTGTGTGTGTGTGTGTGTGTGTGTGTGTGTGTGTGTGTGTGTGTGTGTGTAGAGTATTCTTTTTGTTTAAGGAATAGTTGAACAATTTGGGAAACATGATGAATCTGTCCAGCATCAGTGTAAGGCACAGGTGTCAAACTCCGGTCCTCGAGGGCCGCTATCCTACATGTTTTAGTGTTCTCCCTGTTTCAAAGCACCTAATTTCATTCAGCAGGCGATTAACAGGCTTCTTGAGAGCCTGATGAGCTGCTGCACAGGTAATCAACTGTGTTGGAACAGGGAAAGAACAAAAATATGCAGGATAACTGCCCTCGAGGACCGGAGTTTGACACCTCTGGTGTAAGGGAACAAAACTCATCGGTGTGTGTTCCACGGTGGGCTATGGCTACTTCTTGGCTTCATGGGTCTTGTTTTTATGTTTTTCTTACATTAGCAGGAACCTCCTCAGATGTAGATGTGATCAAAGCCACCTGATTCAGGCTCTGCTGTTAATCAGAATTCTCAGTAAAATTACGAATCAGATCATTTTTCCCAAATTGGTTAAATCATTCCTTTTCCAAATGACAGATCAGGCATTGGCAGATTCATTACCCTTCATTGTCCCACGGATGCTGGTGACCAGCCACCCTCTTGTGTCTTTATCATCAGTGCTCCATATGCGACTTATTCAAGAATGTGTGTGTTTTGCATGTTTCCTAATTGTCTGCTGTGTAAGTCAAGCCCCATCGTCTGAAAGTTGTTGCCAGATGTTTGCAAAGTGGGAGAGGGCTGAGGAAGCAGGCAAAACTGGACCCTTTATTCTCTGGGAACAGTTTCAGTGCCAAACTCCTTTTTATCTGTCTGTCTTCGGGGATGCTGGACGTTGGTCAGTATTGGTAACAAACGAATCCACTTATTAAAGAGTTGAATCATGCAGGAGGAGGAATGGGTCCTGAGCTTGTCTGACAGTCCCACACGCTAAACGCGGGTGATTTGTGTGTTTGACTTTTATTTTGTCATCGTGTCTGCGTAACTCGTCCTGGATGTGCTCCAGACTCCAGAAACATGAATGTGATGTTAAGAGTTGTATTAAATAGTAAACGAGCTGTTGTTGGTAGGTGAAACATAGTGAGCTGTAAGGAATGAATTAAATATGTTTGTGAACGCCTGCGAAGCGCTCATGTTTGTGTTTAAATATGACATGTTATGCTGTTTTTAATGTCTGACCCCAGAACCAGAAAGAAGTGCTTATATACATATAAATATATATATATATATATATATTACTCCAGCTCAGGTTTGTAGAGGAAACGGTCTGATCCACATAGTTTATGGTCCAATTCCAGAGCCAAAAACAGTTTGACAGTTCACTAATGTCTGCTCTGTGTTTCATGCTGTTTTCTGTCTTGTCAAAGTCAGCAGATGTGCAACGTTAGAGGAATCTGCCACCGCCTTTCACACCTTCTGTAGGCCCACTTTTCTCTGAGGTTTATCCAGAATCACCATGGCGACCTGTAGAAGGTTACTTTCACATTCAGTGTACCCAAATCTGCTGCTGCTCTTTATTTATACAGGTATATACAGAGATTTAAATATATATAAATACGTATATACATCTATATGAGATCGCACACTTGCCTCGTCTTGCTCGAAAATGTATCCTGTTTACTTTCTTCTACATTTTTGAGAACAACCGAATATGCAATAGAAATGACAGATAATCTATCTCCTTCTCATAACGAGCTCTGCTCTCCTCTTTTCTTTAATGTTTTTACACAATATAAGCTACTTGCGTACGGGAGATTCATTTATGACTTTTATCTCTGCGGGCCAGATTTTCAGAGTATTCAGGAAACAATAAATCGGGCCCTCCGGACTCGCCGCTGATGGCAGATTTGACATTTATTAAACACGGTGACCAAAGCAAATTTTAACAAATGGATCCTAGACTACAGAGCTATGAAAGGATGACAGATGTACAGGTCTTTATGAAACACCTTTTTTAGAAACATGTCTTTGGTCAAACTGTGTAATACTGTGAATAGGACAGGACTCGTCTTTTTCATACACCAACTGTTTGTGAAAGTAATCAACCAGCTTGAATCTATAAAGAGAAGATTGCACTACCCAAATATTGTTTGAAAGTCTATTTTGTATAAAACATATGCAGACAATAACCGAGTTTCAAAAGGGCGGATCATGTTTCACCGGTTCATGCTTTTATCTAAAAAAGCTTCCTGTTTGTTTTTGCCTAAAACAAGTTTAATATGTACATATAATCCATTGTAAAGAAAATGTGGTGTATGTGTCTTCAGGTAGCTTTTTCAGTACCTAGCCCTCTGTATTATTTCTCTCTAGTGTGACTCTTGTTGATCTTTTCCTCTGTTGATTAAAGGTTGACCCGCACGTGTTTGTGTGGTACTTCATTCATAAACAGGACCTTGCTCCAAACCAACAGTGACTCTGAGCGTCGGACACAGGAAACTTTCACTTTTCATACATGTGTTTTCCTATTTTGGCCCCGTGTTTGTTGGCTGGTGTTGCCCTGTTTATCAGCTGCTCTGTAAGTTGTGACACCTTTAGTAGGCGAGTTTTTAGGCGTATTAAAGTGGTTTGATGTGGAAAGGGCTTCAAAAGTTCGAGCTGTTTAACAGCTTTAGTTTGGCGAAAGATAACGAGAGCTCCTTCTCTTAAAACTTTCATTTCATAAACATGACTGTAGTTTTATTCAGACCTGTTCCATCAACATTAAGGTCATTACATGACTTTATTAGAATTATGTGGTCACTTGCATTAGAGATGAGTTTAGAAACCTTCCCAGAAAACACTAATTGTAGTTTGAGCTGTTGATGATAAGCATTAGAGGTCTGGCATTAGCATCAGCTGTGTTTATTGGTCAGGTGCTTTGCTCCAAAAGTTCAGTTATAGTTTGTATGTGTGAGGGTGAGGGTTATTCGTGTTGGATTTGGAGGTTGATGCTGGTGAAAAACTATTAACTTGTAGGTTGTTTGATTGGATTTAAAAGAAAACAATCCCATTGGCTTGATGATAGATAACCCTTACTTGTAAGGTGTTTTTTTCTCTCTGAGTCAGAGGACTCCTAAGCACTTTACACTTAAGTGATTCATTCATCCATTCACATTATGGCACCAGCATTCAGCAGAGGCCTCACTTTTGTCAGTGATATAAGGGAGGGGGAGCTGTGGCTACCACTGTGGACAACCACTGACTGCAACAGACCTAAGTCCCCGGTTAAATGTTTATTTATAAATTCTAACACTGGGGGAAAATGTTTTGAAGTCACTTTTGTGAGTTTCTTACAAATCTCTAACATTTTCCAGATACCAGCCCACTCCTCAGGGGATCAATAAAGCATAAATAAATAGCTGATGTAAACATCACTAACCCGCATCAGCGCCGGGCACGTGAAGCAAACACCAACCTTTTGTTATGATCTAATCCAATATCTAATCTGATTTACTGCTTAAGTTTAAAGTAAAACGGATATTTGTAAACCTTCCTTTACGTTTATTACGAACTGGGTTCTTCTCGTGCAGGAATCAAAACACAAGTGTGTGTGTAGGAGAATAATAGTGACCTTAGTTATTTTTAGCTTTTAACCACATTAAAGGTTCAGGCAGGCATCGGGGGCGCGCATGTTACCAGGCAGTGGTTTCTGCGCTCGTCCACGACCACATACACACACCAGACCACTGCAGAGGCCAGGACCGCTGGGGGAGGGCAGCAGTCCCGCATGAAGGCATCAGGATGGCGGATGGAGACGCGCTCATAGCCGGGGATCAGGCCGAGGACGGCGGCCTGTCGCTGCTGCTGGACTACCGGAGGAGGACCCAACTCTACTGCATGAATGGCGGATATCACCTCCAGATCCTTCCTGATGGGACGGTGCAGGGCCAGAGGGAGGACCGGGACGTGCACAGTAAGGCTGCGGCAGAAACATACTGCGCATGCTCACATCCAGGTCAGGCCTACTGCAGGTGTGCTCATGTCGGTGCGTGCGGGTGAAACACACCCACCATTAAAACGAGTTTATCTGCTGCCATCAACAGATTTATCTTTTATTTAAACATTTGAAAAGTGGAATTAAACTTTCTACTTTTGGGGCAAAATGGTTCAGGTTAGCTTTTTTTTCTTCCGCCATGTTTGGAACTACAAGCATCAGAACAGTTCATGTTTTATTAACACAAAGCTCCACAGAATAAAAGCTGTAACTCTGATGTGGAACATGCCCAGTATTCCTCTTCAGCTCCTATTTTAATCCCCACAAATTTTGACGTCATACAACATGTAAACCTCTAAAAATGATCAAAAAGCTTAAAAAAAAAGATCAAAAAGCTTTTTTTCCAATATCTGACTGAGGGATGGTTAAAACAAGCAGCAAGCTTGTTCCCAAAATAAATAAAAATCTGATGTATATACCAGGAGTCTAATTTCTGTGAACAAACTTAAACTCTTGGGTTATTTTAACCCACACCGATTGCTCATAACAACCTGCTTGTTACTGAAGTGTTTGTCTAAAGCTGACAAATATTTTTTAGTGATCAACACAGAAACTCAATGTTTTACTCTATAGTCCTCCTCTTTTACTTGATTTATTGTTTCATTTTAAATTTAGTTTGACAATTACATTTAAAAAGGCAAAACTGAAATATAATTTCCTTTTTTCACCCTTAAAACATCTTTAAACAGATGAATACCAAAAAAATGTCAAAATCCTAGTTTTCTGACATTAACTGGACATCTTTTATTTTAAAAATAGCTGTAGTATTTAATTTACAATTCTCAGTTATACCTGCTAACACGTTGGCCCCTTGAGGGGAAATCGCTTCATCAGAACATCTGATTGATTTTAATGTATAGAAACTTTGTGTTTCAGCCGTCTTAAAGCTGAGAGCTGTGGACCGAGGCGTGGTGGTCATCCAGGGAACAGAAACAGAGAGATACTTGGCCATGAGTGAGGAGGGGCGTTTGTACGGTTCAGTGAGTAAAGTTGCTGATCAGTCATTGATACATAAAGAATTTGTAACATACTCCATTTAAATTCAGTAAAAAAGGTAGTGGCTTTTGTGTGTTTGCTGTTGCAGCGTGCAGTAACTGATGAATGTTACTTTCTGGAGAAGCTGGAGGAGAATCACTACAACACCTATCAGTCACAGAAGTACCAGGACAACCAGTGGTATGTGGCCCTGAAAAAGAACGGCAAACCTAAACTTGGTCCAAGAACCCACATCGGACAGAAGGCCATTTTCTTCCTGCCCAGACGGATGGACTTCAGCCAGGACTGAACAGAGCAGAACCAAGAGTTGAGAGGAAGAGGCGGCAACGCTGCAAGCTGCTCAGCTTCCCTTGGTCCAGTTTGTGTTTGGGGTAAAAGTGAAGCCGACTGCTGCGTTGTGCCAACTGACGCACACGATTGTGTTTGGCTCATTAGATTTTACAAGCGCAGCTTAAATCTTTGCTCATTCTGTAGCAAATGTAATTTTCCACAAATATACAATCAGTCTTCATCTTCAAGTTCTGCAGCATAATTTTTTAGCTCTGTAAGCTGGTCAAAAGTAAAAAAGTAGTTTCATTATCCTTCTCCGTGTGTGTGTGTGTGTGTGTGTGTGTGTGTGTGTGTGTGTGTGTGTGTGTGTGTGTGTGTGTGTGTGTGTGTGTGTGTGTGTGTGTGTGTGTGTGTGTGTGTGTGTGTGTGTGTGTGTGTGTGTGTGTGTGTGTGTGATTACACACACACACACAAAATTAGCATATTGTGATAGTTAATCATTTTCTGTAATGTACTGATAGACTTTCATATATATTAGATTCATTACACACAACTGAAGTAGTTCAAGCCTTTTATTATTTCTAATATTGATGATTTTGGCATACAGCTCATGAAAACCCAAAATTCCTCTCAAAAAATTAGCATATCATGAAAAGGTTCTCTAAATAAGTTATTAACCTAATCATCTGAATCAACTAATTAACTCTAAACACCTGCAAAAGATTCCTGAGGCTTTTATAAACTCCCAGCCTGGTTCATTACTCAAAACCGCAATCATGGGTAAGACTGTCGACCTGACTGCTGTCCAGAAGGCCATCATTGACACCCTCAAGCAAGAGGGTAAGACACAGAAAGAACTTTCTGAACGAATAGGTTGTTCCCAGAGTGCTGTATCAAGGCACCTCAGTGGGAAGTCTGTGGGAAGGGAAAAGTGTGGCAGAAAACGCTGCACAACATGAAGAGGTGACCGGACCCTGAGGAAGATTGTGGAGAAGGACCGATTCCAGACCTTGGGGGACCTGCGGAAGCAGTGGACTGAGTCTGGAGTAGAAACATCCAGAGCCACCGTTTACAGGTGTGTGCAGGAAATGGGCTACAGGTGCCGCCTTCCCAGGTCAAGCCGCTTTTGAACCAGAAACAGCGGCAGATGCGCCTGACCTGGGCTACTGAGAAGCAGCGCTGGACTGTTGCTCACTGGTTCAAAGTACTTTTTTTGGACGAAAGCAAATTTTGCACGTCATTCGAAAATCAAGGTGCCAGAGTCTGGAGGAAGACTGGGCAGAGGGAAATGCCAAAATGCCTGAAGTCCAGTGTCAAGTACCCACAGTCAGTGATGGTCTGGGTTGCCATGTCAGCTGCTGGTGTTGGTCCACTGTGTTTTATCAAGGGCAGGGTCAATGCAGCTAGTTATCAGGAGATTTTGGAGCACTTCATGCTTCCATCTGCTGAAAAGCTTTATGGAGATGAAGATTTCATTTTTCAGCACGACCTGACACCAGCTCACAGTGCCAAAACCACTGGTAAATGGTTTACTGACCATGGTATTGCTGTGCTCAATTGGCCTGCCAACTCTCCTGACCTGAACCCCATAGAGGATCTGTGGGATATTGTGAAGATAAAGTTGAGAGACGCAAGACCCAACACTCTGGATGAGCTTAAGGCCGCTATTGAAGCATCCTGGGCCTCCATAACACCTCAGCAGTGCCACAGGCTGATTGCCTCCATGCCACGCCACATTGAAGCAGTCATTTCTGCAAAAGGATTCCCGACCAAGTATTGAGTGCATAACTGAACACAATTATTTGAAGGTTGACTTTTTTGTATTAAAAAACACTTATTGGTCGGATGAAATATGCTAATTTTTTAGACAATTTTAGGTTTTCATGAGCTGTATGCCAAAATCATCAATATTAGAAACAATAAAAGGCTTGAACTACTTCAGTTGTGTGTAATGAATCTAATATATATGAAAGTCTATCAGTACATTACAGAAAATAATTAACTATCACAATATGCAAATTTTTTGAGAAGGACCTGTACATTCTATCTATCTATCTATCTAGAGAGAGAGCTTTTCAGCTGGTAATCTTTATCACAGAATAAATATTAATCAACATCTTAATGTGTCAAGAGGTAGTAAGGACGGGGGAAACTTGCCGTTATATTGGGAAGTTTCATGTCTGTGCCACCAAGGGTTGCTTCTGTGTAAACAAGGCACTAATCAGCTGCTGTCTGAAGATTTTTCCCCTTTCAAGAATTATGTAGGATTTTTCAGAAATCCATAACAGTGATTATCTTGTGATGTAATGTAAGAAATAAGTCTTATTTTTGCCAAGCCTGCCGCCTGTCCCATAGAGCTCCATACAATATGAAATGAGTGCCGGTCCACATTAGCCAATAGCGTTAGACTACCGCTTAACACAGACGTCAATCACAGCACGAGCGCGAACGTTGAAGAACCTACTTTGGTTGATGCAGAGTTGGTGACCTTTCTGATGGACAAGTAAGTCTTTCAAATATAAATGTATGTAAACACAAGATAACGTGAGCATATCTGTAAAATAATGTGTTTCAGCTCTGTTTTGTCAGCTAGAGGAGCATGTTTATGAATGAGAGGTGGTGCTTTCAGTCGTAAATACGCTTGTCACGCACTAGATGGTGCCATCAGATAAAATAAATAATCCAGACACCTTAAATCTCAACTATAGCTTCATAACATTTACCTTTAACAAAACTACTTCATACATATCACCTGGAGAGTTTAAAGGTGTGTAGATGCTGGTTAAAATAACCATCAGTCCACTGAGGTGCATTGAAAGTGACATTTATTTAACACTAAACATTTTCTGTACAGTTACATAACAACAAAACCCCAAAGTTTCAGTTCTACGTCACACAGAAACAAGCATCATCAGTTTGTAATTAAAGCCATGGCAGAAGTATGAAGCTTAGTCATCAGTTCACCAGTGTGATTTCATATCATCATGGTTCTGTTTCTAAAAGTGCAGCTGCAACGTTCTTTGAGATAACTGATCCCAAACTCCTAACGCAGAACAAAGGTTTTACTGTTTGCAGAAATAATAAATTCTCCAAATACCAATTAAATCTTCATGCAAAATCCCACCTGGAGGAGGAATTTAAGTTACTTTTACACTCGAGTAATCTGATCCAGCTGTTAGAAGATCACCAACGGCCAAAAGTCCAGACAGCAGATAATCGCTAAGCTTATCCAACAGCATAGACATTTGCTGACTCAACAAGGGCGATCAGAAAATCAGCTCATTTTCTCAGAAAGGTGGTTGCTATAATTTAGTTCTTCTGATTGAGAGCATCTCAGTAACTTCAAAACTATTTCTAAGTAAGGGCGACTTACCTGATTTACAAAACAGCAGCAACAAGAGAATCAGACAAAGAGCTCGTTTTGGTTTGTATTTAACTGCCGCTCTTAGAACTGCATGTTTATTTGACTGTTTGCATGAAATAAAAATGAGCCTAATTATCAGTAGGAATCTGCAGACAACGCTGCCCCCTGGAGGCGGCTAAGAGCCGACAGGTGGTTGAAATACCACGTCTACAGCACAGACAGCTTGTATTTTTGGTGTCTATCAGAACCATCAGGTGAGATTAGTGAATATAACAGAGTGAGCTGCATGCTGAGGCAAATCTACAGTGCTCTCTAAGTAATCTCTGCTGCCTTTGAGCGTCGCCGACACGATATTCCTCCAAGTTATGGACCTGGCGGGCAGAAGCATGCTCGTATGCTACCATCAAACGATATAAGGCATTACTCATACATTACAGACTGATGTAAAAAGCACTTAACATTTGTCACTAATGACTATATTATGGGACTATTACTGGTAACCATTATTCATTAAATCAAAAGAAATCAAGTGACAGAATTCCTGAATATGTCACCGTCTGGAGTCGTCTTCATCTCCAACTCTCAGGTTGATTTCTGGATTCTTCATGGGAATTTCAAACACTTCTACTGTGCCCCCCTCGTTCTTTCACTCCCTGGATATGCCACAGGGAAAATGAGTCAAGTGTCCAGTGGAACAATGGACAGATCCAGGTTGAGTCAACATACCTCTAATAGATGAAAAGTACTCTTGTTCTGGGAAGGTTGGCATAAGTGGGATCGACCAACTTGCGCACTCTGGAGTAGTTTACAAAGCCTCTGATGAAAAGCATGAAACCTGGAATGTGGCAAAGCAAACGAATGAAAATTTGATGTCTGCCTAGGACGGATGACTTACAGACTGGCAGAATGAATAGTTGACCCCAGAACCGAGCTGCACGATGTTACATTTGAGCATCGACATCACAATGTCTACGTACACCATCGTCACATCACAGGTCATGCTGCCATGTCGGACTAAACGTGGTATCCAATGTTAATGGCACCTGACCATTAACCCGCTGCAGTTACCTATAGGAAGCCTAAGTCTCCTCCCTTTCCGGTTGGCTCATGGGTTCTCAGAAGAATGAAAAAATGAATGCAAGTCAATGGGGCTAATCCCTTTGCCTTGGACCCTAGATCACACATATGTTGTACTTTAAGGCTGCAACAAACAATTATTTGGAGCATCGATGAATCGGATGGGGTCTCGACTCGATTAATTGGATTAAACAAGAAAATTAAAAAGTTTCTTGGGAAACTTTTTCCTCTAACAGCACAACATGGTTGTGCTTTGTTAACAAAGTTGTTAAATGTTACAATAAAGTTAATTAAAACATCCTGGATCCTTTTCTACGCTTTCTTTATTGAAGTATCAGATCGATACTCTGTAGCAGCAGATTCTCAAAATCAAATGATTTGGACTCGAGTGCAAAAAACCTGATCAGGAAAAAAAAATACACACATTTCAGTTTTTTAATTTAAATATTGCTAGGGAAACATTTTTCTCTCCTTCCTTTACTTTAACAACAGAACATGATTAGAAAACTGTTCAAATAGTGTGCAAAGCAACATGCTGTCACCTAAATATATCCATAATTAAACTATGATCAGTAAAATTTAATGTGTTTCATTAACATGTTCAGTAGTAAGCTACTGAAATGTTAATATTTTATTTCTACTGCTTAAAATGTAATGGTGACATATCTATTATGCACGGTGTCATGAAACTCTAGCAACACGTCGTGTTAGTTGTCCAGTTACTTTCTTTATTAGTCAGCCACACCAACAACACTTCCTTTTGCTACTCCGCCTCCCCGCTACATCCCCGGTACGGCAGCCCCTTCAGGACATGCGGTAATCTCACAACATCTCCCCTTTCAAAATAAAACAAAGCATTATAAACAAACGGTACGGTTGCCGACTGCTGAACAGCAACATCTTCCGATCTCTGAACGTATTACTTATCTAGAAGTGAGAATTGTAAGTGTTAACTAGAAATGGGAACTAAAGTTATAAAAGAACTTGCTAAACAAACACCGCTGGTAAAATGTCAGCATTTAACTTCCTCAGTCTTTCACACAAGATAACCAAGTACCTCTCCTCTGAACCTGGACGTCCTAGGGGTGGACTACCCCCAGGCCAGCAGGGATTACCCTGCCCTAGGGAGAGAAGGCCAAGTCCTTCATTATCAGTCTCGGGACCTCAGAGGCAGCGTTATTACACGCCCCTTGGAGGTCAGTCTCTTGGGAGTGGACTGCGGGAGGGACATTGGAGCAGGAATTGCCGATTCTTGATCATGTGGTGGCTCCTGGGGAACCTCCACCATTACATCTGAGGTGATTGAGCTGATGCACCAACCAGTTGCTGCTGCTTCCCTGGATCATCCGTCTCAGGGACCGCCATGAGATGACGTCTATTCCAGCGAGTTACGGTCCCCGTGTCCATTTCCACCACATAGGATCTTATGTCTCCCGAACTGCCGATGACTTTGGCAGGGGTCTTCCATCCATTATTATCATCCAGTTTCACCCGGACAGCCTGTCCGGGCCGCAGCTCTGGAAGAGGACGAGCTGAATGTCTGCGGTGTAGAAATACTTGTATGCTTCCTTGGCCGTGTTGTCATTCTGATAGACACGATCCAAACTGACTGGCTGAGGTCGTAGTGATTCCTCTAAGGCTGGAACCATAGTTCGAATTTGTCGACCAGTCATTAGCTGAGAGATTTATCAGCTTGTAAAAGTTTGCTGTTAGCAGGACTACAAATCAGACATCGGCAAGTCACATATATGACATCACCACATAATCTCCTCTCCCCTAGCAGCTACTTCTTACCACATGACCAGATTAATGGTGTTTTTTTTTTCTCCTGAAGGAAGGGTTTGAAGTTTGCTGAACTTACAGCCATTTTCTCGTTTGGTTCGGTGACGTCACTTTCACAAAGCGCATTTGTAGTCCTGGACTTATTTTCACACAAAACCCAAAATAGTGTTTCCCCCATTCTAAAATAAGTGCGTTCTTGATATCGAAATGCTTCTTTAAAATTCACGGACATCATATGTGAAATCCATGGCACAAAACAAGCGGAATTAGAAAATTGCCATTTTAGCCCCATTGACCGGCATTCAGTTTTTCATTCTTCCAGGGACCCATGATGCAGAAGAAGATGGGCGTGACTTATTCCCATCTGTACCTGGTCGGCCCTGCCCGCATAGCTCCAGTCGGCCCCAGCCTGGCCCGGTTGATTCCACACATCCTTGCTCAGGTATGCAAGGAATGCAGTCAGAGACATTTTCAGCTTCTAGGTAATCAGCATGATGATGAATGATAATGAACTGAGCATGCCTTAAGCCCATGTGGGCTGATTCTACCCACCAATCAGAGGCTTGCTCTAATGAAAGGTGTGAACTTGCTGACTGATAAAGCTTGGTTTATGCTTGACGCATTTAATTTCCGCTTGGTGATGCGGCTCGCGGATGGAACGCGCTTCACAACTTGCAGCGTTTATGGTTCGTGCGGCTTGTCTCTGCGGTGAGCCAATATTCTCCCAAACTGGAGGGGGCAGCATAGAGCAATACGGCATGCATCCAACACTACACCATAGAAGTAGAAATTACTGTTGACAACAAGGCATTCCAGCATTTTTTAACAGCGTCCTCATCTTTTCCGACAGTGCGAGCTATTTCTCTCCAAGAATTATTAACTACATGTTGATCACGGTGATCTTTGAGAGCTGAAACATACAAATGTCTGTATTTACGAACCTCTGCCATTCTAGTTCTTGCCAGACCGCCATGTTTTTCCATAACCAACTGTCCGCGTGGTTAGAAAATTTCCTAGGTGCGCGGTGCTGAAAGTTTGGGCCGTGTGGAGACGCGGTGGAGGGGCGGGTTGTTAAAATGACGCAACTTTTCCGCGCGGAGCCGTGGGAACGTCGCGGACGCGTCAAGCATAAACCAACCTTAAGCCGGCTTATCAGTCAGCAGTAGGTGTGTTGGCCCTGGTCAGCCTGAAGCAGACCACCTCAGAAAGAGGGCTGAAAAACAGTCTCGCTGCATCCTGAAAAAAGGCAGGCCACCAAGATATGCAAGCAAGCTATGCTATCCGGACCGGGACGACCAGGTACAGATGGGAATGGCCCTTAAGGTTCCATATGGGTAACCTGACCTGTTAAACCTAAATGTTTTTGAACCAGGCTGTAAACATGTTTACTTCTGCTGTCAAGTTAGCATTTTTAACATGGGACTCGATGGGAACTTGCTCATTTTTTAAGCTGGCCCCTAGCGCAGTGACACCCAACTCCCTTCCGTGGGCCAGTGTCCAGCATGTTTTCGTTGTTTCCCTAATCCAGTGTTTCTCTACAATTTCTATGATGCCCCCTCTAGGATGCTTATAGCTAACAGGTTATTTGTTAACCAGATGAGTGCAACATAACTGAAAGTGATTTTCGGGTCATCTGTTTGAATTTCTGTATTTTTCTTCTACAGGGTTAGAAAAAACCACAATGTGAATTCTTTCAAATACCATGCTGGATTGTAGATCTCAAAATGTTTTTGGGAAAACCTAACAGCAGCATCGGCCCCGGCTCAGATAATCCACACACCTTGTGACTTCATATTATATTATTTCTACTGGTTTAAACTGAACCCGATCCCTGCACAGAGGAACCCCACCCCAACCATGTCTATCACATCTGTACCCATATCTAACCTCCTGGGACCCAACCCTGTATTTGGTTTGATTTAAAAGAAAACACATATCTAGCTATTACAGATCAGTCGACTGTAATTAACAGAAACAAAGTTGCAAAACTTTTTATTCTATAAAAATGAATTAAATAAAAATGTCAAATATCCTAAAAAAAGAAAAACAAAAACATTTTTTTAATTAAAGTCAATATAAAGTGTCTATAAATAATAAAAAGGTCTAAGTAGGAGAATAACATTTTAAGGTGCAAGAAGCCAATGTCCACATATATGAACACGGGGCCCTAGGAGGTTAAATAAGAGAAGAAAAAGTTTTTTATAAGCACCTAACTGCATAAGCTAAAATAACCCTGATGTTCCTAAATATGACTCTCTGTATGAAACAACGTGACTCACTCACCCAGAGCCAGGAACACCCACCACAACCAGTACTGTCCATCAAAGTAACCGGGGAAATAGGTGGAAAACTGCAGAAAAATGAGAACGTGTTTACTGTGAAGAGCTGCTGGCTGATTTTTAACAACATTAAATGTGTTTGAGGTCACAAAAACCACATTTCTGCAGCAGAACAAGCCCACATTAGCACAGCTGCTCAACTGGTTAAGATGGTGCTTCAGTAAACAGCTCTTACCCTGACGATCAGGACCCATTTGATGAGAGACAGACCGAAGCCGGAGATGGCTCCATATCGACCAGCAGCTGATGTGGTCAAGCAGAACGACAAAAAGAAGCCAATCCAGTTGAACAGGAATGCCACTGTTGGCACAAAAGACACTCGTTAGTAGAATAAACTGAAATGAGCCCAGCAAACTTGTGATAATTAAACATTTATTTTAAAGAGGTAAAAATCTTTTACCACTTTTACATAAATGAATGAGCTGAAGCTGAAAACTCCACCTATAATCTGAAATAAGCCTGGATTTGTCACCTCTGGAGCCTAAAGTTTAGATCATTTAGCTTTTCATTTTTATTTCAATCCAAAAACCACCCAAACCAGTTGTGTGATTTAAGTAGTTACAGGATCACCACCAGGAGATCAGCCACTCTGGTTTCTTCTCAGCTGCAGGTTAAAGCGAACTGATCCCTGTCAGATCTGATGAACAGACCCTCACGATGAAAGACACGATCGAGTATGGAAGCTGAGTGACGGATTAGACGTTCTTTCAAGTGATGCTCTCGTCAGAACACGACTCTCCTCTCATGTGAACATTTACATCAAGACTTTTCAGTGCTTTTCCAAACTATTTTAGTGGATTAAGTTTCCCTCAAAGCTTTACGGACAAGAAAATCAGGTGTTACGATAAAACTTCACTCAAATTAGTAAACCCCTAAAATTACAGACTGTCTTACTGAAGAACGTGAGCATGAAGATGCCGTCATTCCCTATTCGCAGCTGGTCCGCATCCTCAAAGTCATCTCTGGCCACAAAGTCTTCATCCTGAAACAACAGGACACTCGCTCAAACAAACTTCTAGTCCGTTTCAGATCTACGTAAATACTCAGTCATAAGAGGTGCTACAGAGATGGAACAGTACCGAGACTCTTCCAGGAACCAGAGGGACGGCAGCCTCTGCCTTGCTTCTCTCAGCTTCATCGTAGGAGGGCAAGGTGGTGGCGACGTTGTAAGACGGAGGGTTGGGAAATCTTCCTCCGTCTTCCTTGTACTCAAAAAAAGCTGTGGACACAACGGACAAATGACAGCAGTCCGCAATAAAAGAGTGGAAAATACAGAGGAAAAGGAGGAACAGACAAAACAGAGGAAAGCTGAGGAAAAAACAAATGAACAGCTGTATTTGTGTTTTACCAAACGTTTTTGATGAAACGCTACATTTGCTCCATCCATCCATTTATTTTCAGCTACATATCAAAAGGTCAGGTCATGGGGGAAGTGGCCTAAGCAGGGAGGCTCAGACTTCTCTCTCTCCCCAACCACTTGGGCTTGGGATGCCTTGGGATCCCCTCTGGGGGGATCCCAAGGCATCCCCTGGCCAGCCGAGAGACATTATCCCTCCAGTGTGTCCTGGGTCTTCCTTTAGGTCTTCTCCTGGTTGAACATGCCTGGAAAACCTCATCAGGGAGATATCCTTAAGCCGGGCGTACACTGTGCGACTTTTTCACTTTTTTGAGACGATTTTCCACTCGTGCGAGAATCCACAAGATCAGGGCGAGTTTTGCGCCGAGCGTCGTGTAGTGTACAGGGGGTTACGAGAGGCGATTAACACCATGTGACCAGCTACCGATCAGCAATCGTGAGCTCGCACAAACTTCTGGCGTGTTTGATATTTTGCTCGTCCCTCGTGAGGGTATTGCACTGTTGAAGCGGTGCTGCGAGCAGCTGCTCACCCGCTATTTCCCTAATAACACACATTGTTTTTGTTTCTACACATTTTTTTACTCACAAAGATTGTCAAGAAAGTGTGTTTGTCGTGTTCATGTCAAATTAAACTGATCACAAAACACAGATTTACTTTCTTTATTTCGTTTCCTCATCCAACCCCCATAAATCCCTGTGTGTCCTCCTGCAGCACTCCCGAAGGACAACGGGCAAAACAAGACAAAAAAGTCTGACGTGTTGAGTAAAAACTGCTATTTTTAGCATATTTTTAGGTCTGACGTGTTGCTACCAGACGTCCAGTGTGAGCAGTCAGGTCGCTTCCGAGAACTGGGTCGTGCAGTGTGAGCACATGACTCGTGAGATCTGCTCTGCGAGGAAGTCGTACAGTTTGAGCTGAAGCTGAGTGCTACGAGTGAAAAAGTCGCACAGTGTCCGCCCGGCTTAAGGGAGAGCCCAGCCACCTTGTGCAGAAAACCCATTTCAGCCGATTGTATCCGCGATCCCATTCTTTCGGTCACTACTCAAAGCTTGTGACCATAGGTGAGTGTAGGAATGTAGATCGGCCAGTAAATCGAGAGCTTTGCCTTCTGGCCCAGCTCTCCCTTCACCATGATAGATTGGTACAACGCCCACATCACTGCTGACGCAGCACCAATCCCCCCATCTATCTCACACTGCATTTTTTTCCTCACTCATGTACAAGACCCCCAAGATACTTAAACTCCACTTGAGGCAGGACCTCGTCCCTGACCCAGAGAACACATTCTGCCCTTTTCCGACTCAAGCTCATAGTCTCAGATTTAAAGAGGGGCTGAATCTCATCACAGCTGCTTCCCACTCTGCTGTGTATCGCTCCACTGAGAGCCCGAGATAATGATCTGATGAAGTCAACAGGACCATGCCGCCTTGGCGGAGTTCAACTCTCACTGGTAATGAGCCCGACTTACTGCAGCATTTGTTATATTACCACATTTTGCTATTAAAAAACTAAATTTCAATCAAGAAATTCTATAAAAATTTGCATTCAAAAGAACTGAAAGCAACCAGTAAGGCAAGGCAGCTTTAATTATATAGCACATTACATACACAGAGGCAATTCAATGTGTTTGAGAAGTGATGACTTAGCTGCTGAGAAAGAAAAATCATTTTCACTTCCCTAAATAAAACAAAAGGAAAGCAGCAGCTGGGAGATCAGACATGATCTGGAAGGGGCGTGCTACAGCGGAGAGGCTCATTAGCGGTACAAGTGTCCATTACTGTTTGTTCTCCTCATAAAAAGCCAAGACTTTTATCTGGGTCATTTGGCACTGATCCAGGAATCCTCATTTGTGTTGCACCAACAGTAACAGCCCTGGATCAGATCGATGAACTCATCCAGGAAGCTCTGTGCTGCACCCACTTATGCAACACTGACCTATACCCTCTTAAGAGGCCAGAGCTGAAACAACACATTTAGAGCTGAGGAAATCAAATAATTGATGCATCGGGATGCGGACATTAACGATTCTGCATCATAGAAGAGTACGCCATAATCGATTATAGTGGAATGTAGTTTGTTTTTTTTATCGGCGGCACCAGCGCAGCGTCCAAATCTGTCAGAGTGAGTGTCCTCCACAATTACAAAGTGGTTCCGCCTTAATGTGGTACTGCAGGGCTGAGCGCTAGAGTCGTAACCTGAGACCGAACCGGAACCGAATCAGCCCGACCGGTTGAGGTTGAGGGGCGGGGTCGTCTGTCTCTTTAATTAAGGGACACGGAGAAGTTAAAAGGAGAGCGAAATACAAGATAGAAGTTCTTGTTCCACTTTATTCTTTTGCTTCATGATGATAAACTGATGTTAAATTCAGCTTAAAGAGAAACTGGGAGGAAGCTTTGGTTCATTTTAAGTTACAGGAGATCTTGTCTCCTATCTGCTCCTCCAGAGACAGCATGGACATGAGGGTCACATGGTGAGGGTCCCACAGGACAGGTTAGTGGAAAGGTTTGTAGTTAGATGGTTAGTGAAGGAGATCCATCAGCTGGGTAATTTAATCCTAATCCAGCCTACAGCCTTCTGCTGGTGTTATTATCAGAAAGAATAAAACACACATCTTAAATATTATTGGAAGTGCAGAATTTTTTTTATGTTTTATTCTCTGCATCAAACAGAACTTGATTCATTCTCCAACATTTCAGAAATGAACCACTGGGTTCAAATCGTGGTTCGTGGCGTTGAACAACGAAATGGTTTGTTTCACTTTGTTAAATCTTCTTAAATGTTTAAAATGTTTTGTCCTAACCTGTTGTGAATGGAGAGCTTTGAGGGATGGCAGGTTGTGTCAATTACATTTGATAAAATAAAATAAATAAATAAAAAGCAAATATCTGACATCTTCTATTTATTGATGAAAACAAATCAATATGAAATAATCGTGATGCATAGGGATATCGAATCGAATTGAATCGTTGACCCAATAATCGTAATCAAATTGAATCGGGAGACAAGTGAAGATTCGCTCTCCTGGCTGTTCTCATCCACAGCAAATTACACAAAAAATGACCAAAGTGCTTTTCAAAACTCTGTTTAGTTACCAAGACCTTGTGCTTCAGTTCATACGGCAGAGCTCCAGTCAGACATGCTCTACTCATTTCTTTAGAGGACTTCATGAAAGCATCATTATAACCAGTAAATTATTAAACAGCTGCTGTTAAACCAGCCTCCACATGAAAACTCCTGACAGGCAGAAGTCAGGCAGGGGAGGATTTCTGCACAACTTTAAAACAGATTCTCACTGTGTTGCTACAGTTTGAGACAAATCAACAGCTTTGATGATGCAGTTTCCAAAATGTCTCCAAATGTTTACAAGGCTTCTCGTTTTCCTCTCGTGAACTGCAAAAGCCTCCCTCTTATGTTGCTGAAATTCAAAAACATGCAAGAAAACTTCAAGTAGTAGATTTTCTCTGAAAAAGTCACACTGTGGGCACCTGGAAACCATTTAGTTTTTTTTTTTTTTATTATTTAGTGTCTGCAGGTCAGGAAGTGCAAGCATGTGAGACAGGCTAGGCAGGTGTTGGTGACACATAGACCCTTTGAACATTATGGTTTACATCCCGGTAACTGTACACATCCACATAACACTGGAGGACAAAAACATCCTCCGCAGCTGCTATCCAGAGTTGTTTTTCTGTGATTTAAGTTAAGAAAATAAAACCCAGGGATATGACTATTTTAGATCATCTAACGCAACTTTGTGCAGATGATCAAAAAGTTACATCTCAAAGCTAACAGTGTTTAGAGCAGTGCTTCCAGATCTGTTTGAAATAAGCATCGAGCTGTGAGACGACAGTTCTCAGAACTGGCCGCTAGTTTGGGGATATTATCTGTTATCGATTAACATGCCTGGACTTTACACAGCTGAAGCAACAAAGGTGTAACCGGATCTCTTCTGCATTGTGTGGGTTAATGATGAAGGATCGCCGGGACACGGTTCAAGGTGAACAGATGCTCTGTTTTTTTTTCTGACGAGCTCAGTAAAAGGAAACACGAAACAAACAACATTAGAGGCCAGCCAGATCTCAGGAGGGACAAGTGGTTTATCAATACATAAATAAATAACTTATATATTTGACATACCCAATGAGCTCAGTAAACACAAAACGAATTACATAAAGGCTATCCGCTCCAATTGCAGAACACGTTTTGTGTAATTATGTAAAAAGACACTGATTTAACTCATTTACAAAGGCATATGTAAATGGTGGTCACCGGGGATGTGCCGTCTTCTTACCCCCAGCCAGAAGCTGGGGGTGAGTAGCCTGGCAAGCCAGACTAAATAAATGTATTATTTGGTCTAGTTCACTAGGCTAGGGGGTGATATCTTGAGCGTGTGATGTCACGCATCAAGAGTCTATTAAAAAACAGGTATGAGAACATTCTGCATACATTTAGGGTCAAATTGTGAACAAGTTAAGATACTTTAACTAAATTTTAACACCAAAGATGCAGTTTGTTCTCAATTACATCAGGTGCACAGCCAGACCTGGTCATGAAAGGAAATAAAGTGAAAATGTACATTTTGTTGCAATTGTGTATTTCCAAATAGTCACAGCACAGTGAGATTCTGGCTTTAATGACCTTTGCTGGTTGCTTGCACTGATTTTGAATACAACACTGTCAATTAAGATAATAAATCATGTGACAGATTCCTGAGGAGATTGAGTCAAACAAACACTGTTAGCTAAAGCAGTGTGTCTCCTAACCTGCATTCGCTGCAGTGACGCTGCTGTAGGGTGGAGGTGCGTCCTGAGCACAGCTCACCTGGGAAGGCTGGGCTGGCTCCTCCTCATTCACCAGCTGAAGAAATGTCATAAGAGTCAAACTTAAATTACATGCTTTCATTTATTAATTTCTAAATTATTGTCCATCCATTTATTTATCCATTACAACCATACTTGATACATGATAATATGTGAAATTCTAGTAAGTGGGATCTGGGAAAGAACATCATAGCACATTATTATCATCATGGGAGTGTGTAAAAGGGGATTCATGTAGCTTTATTTGTCAGCTGTAGTCATATCCAGGGATTTGTTTAAAACACCGTTTTAGAAAACTTTGCAAGCGACGTGTTATTCCATCAAAACATTACTATTTTATAACTCTTCAATTAGTAAAAAACTTAAAATAAAACCCAATAAATCCTGGGTAAGCAGCATATTTACACTTCATGCTCGAGACCTGTGATGCTAAATCGGGCAATTCAACTTAAAAATGCAACATTTCTGTTATTTTTTTACATTTAAAAAAGCCAAAAGGTTCCTATGATGATCAGACTAAATGACCTGTGTAAATATAACGAATTCCATGAAATGTTTTATTCTTTTGCAAGACATGGAGGCTATAAACAAACAAGAGAGCAGAAATAAAACGCCTAGCTTGGTAAATAAGCTCTGTCACGATGGTTTTAAACCAGCTCAGATGTGTCGTGAACAGTCTCTCAACTGGCTCTCATGACTTTTTACGTTTAAAGTATTTTACAGTCGCTGGTTTAAAGATCTGTTTGACAACAGCAGAGCAGGACCGAAAGGCATCCAAAGTTAACAAAATGGGATCGTAGGTGACGAATACGTGTCATGATGACAGTCAATCAAGTTTTTAGACTGACAACAAAACCGAATAAAACGTGAATCTTTAATTAAAACTATCTTTTCAATGAGTGTTTTGATGCTGGTTTGACTAACACGGAGGACGTCCAGGCCAGACACCGTTACTAGCTTCCAAATCCAAACAGCATGACCGTTATTTAGGCCATGAATACAGTAGTATGCAAGTTTACTCTAGAGGAGTTTTTGTTTGATATAAGTCGATGTTATTTATCGCTACTTTTGGCCCCCGCCCGTAAACAAACGTCGGTGACACTTCGCAGAAGCTAGCAGTTAGCATCGTTTCCGCGAACCCCGACCTGTTACTTACCTCCTGATATCTGACGTTACTGTTTTGTTCTGCCATTGTGGAAGAGAAACCAAATGTGTAAAGCTTTCCCCTCTGACTTCTGCTATGAAAATATATCACAGAAAATGAAGCTTTCCAACGAAAGGTCTCCTCCTCTCAGTCGGCCATCTCCTTTCCGAGACAAGCAAGCCGTTCTGATGCTGCATTCAGGTAACGTCGGGAATTTAAACAGTCAAAGCTGTTCACAAGTCTGAACGGTCATTGCAAATCTAGAATTATTACCGAGAATCAATTAAAATATAATAAAACAAATTATAGTAGGAACAAAATAAAATATCCAAAGTAAAAAATTGATGTTACTATAACATGTAGATTACTTTTGCCAGCTGGTTTAGTGAGATTATTAAAATTACATGGAGCATTGAAAGGCAACAGCAGTCTTTCCGTGTTGTCATGTGATCTCGCGCGCCTAAGTAAAACCATAACACCAAACCTTAAAAATCAAACGTCTTTTATTAAAAAGAACCTGAAAATGAGGGATTTACAAAACAAATGTTCTAGCAAGTCATAATGAGTGTTAATGGTGAGATTTCTCACCGCCATCTTCACCAGAACATGAAGAAATAATAAGAATCACAGGAGTGTTAGTTTGTATTAATAATAAATGCATCAGGATCTCAGAAGTGTGAAAGCGATCTCCTCACGTCTCTTTGGGTGGATCCACCAGCCTGTTATGCACGTGCATCATCCCTAAAGAAAAAGCAACATGCAGCATTTTTTCCTGACATCCAAAGCAAGTTTGTCTTTCTTCCATTAAGGCTCTAATTTGTGATGACTGACGTGCACACAGTCCTCCTGCACAGTAGATGTTTCACGGTTACCTTTGAAATATTTCACAGTCTTGACTCGCAGCTCCAGGGTGGCATCTTCATCACAAACAAAAAGAGTTTGTGGGTGCTGCTGGAACGCCGACACTGTCCACATGTGATTCACGCCCTCCTCTATAGCCTTGTATAAAGCAAAGGCCTTGTGTCCTCCTGTGATGAGAATCATGACCTGGCAAAAAGAAACATGTGTCACTCAGATTGTGCACTTTCAGACAATGAAACTGGTGTGATAAGTCTGAGTCGATGCAAACACCAACACAGACACAGAACACAACACAAGACAACTGAGTCCGCTAACCTCCTTTGCATCCATGACGGTACCCACTCCCACTGTCAGAGCCATGGTGGGCACTTTTGAGAGATCTCCATCAAAGAATCGAGCGTTGGCCATGATAGTGTCCTTTGCAAGAGTCTTCACCCTGGTTCTGGACACCAGGCTTGAACCAGGCTCGTTAAAGGCAATGTGGCCATCAGGTCCAATACCTGAAACACAACAAAGATTTGTTTCAAGTTTTCCTTTTAACAGTCACGACTGCACAGTTCCTAACCAGACCTGACCTCCAACAAACAGCTCAATCCCTCCGGCAGCTTTTATCTTTTCTTCAAAGGCGTCACACTCTGCTTGGAGGTCGACGGCGTTTCCATCAAGGATGTGGGTGTTCTCCGCTCTGATATCGATGTGCTTGAACAAGTTATTCCACATGAAGGAGTGGTAACTCTCAGGGTGATCTCTGGGAAGCCCTAAAAAGGAGTTTATAGCAGTAAAATGAAACCATTTCTCACTGTTTTGTTTGATGCCAGAACAAACACTAAACACTCACCTACATATTCATCCATGTTGAAAGTTTTCACGTACTGGAATGAGAGCTCCCCATTTTTGTAATATTCAATCAGCTTTTTGTAACAACCTAAAGGGGTGCCTCCTGAAGATATGCAAAATACATCTTTAATTTAGTCAGAAGATCCGAGCAGAAACAACTCCAACAACACGGTTGGATTGATCATGGAAGCAAGGTGCAGTAAAACACACATGTGCACAGTTTCAGGAGGTGTCCTCTTACCTGTGGGGAGTCCTAAAGTGAAATATTTGTTAGGCGCAGGTTTAAACTGTAAAATTTTGTTTCTTATGTACTTTGCAGCCCACTCGCTTGCCTGGTCGTAGTCATTTAGAATGATCAGCTTCATGGTTCTGAAGGAGAAATCACAAGACACTCCAGTGTTGAGTCAACTCAGAGTAAAACACACCTAAATCAGACTTTAGACTCACCAAGATAACACCAAGCACCAGACTGGTCCTTTTATGAGTCAAAAACAAGCTGGAAAACTGATGTGGCAACTTTATCTAAGATTTCTAAACAGAAAGTACGTGAATGTCTCTAAAACGTGAAGCGATCGCGATGAATCTGTCTAGATTAATCTCTGCCTGCTGCTCTAGGTCGCTTCAGCCTGAATCCGGATCAATCATGTGACCTGTCAGCGAACACACCACGGGAAGTGGCGTTCACGGACTCGCTAATAAAGTTGGAAATATGGTCTCAATTTGCTAAGTAACATCAAATGCTAACCACTTCGACAAGCATCCTCTCATTTGTGGCAAAAATCCTTGAAGGATGTTTTATAAAGCTGAATTCCTACAAATGAGTGATAACTGAATTTAATAGGATAAGCAACGGTTTAGCTTCAGAAGCGCAGTGTTGGTTAAACATTAGCGATGCATACAAGCACAAACTTAACAGTAGTTAATTCCAGTACCCATTTAATTTTAAGTTAACTTGTACCAATTATTTTTATATCATGCTTTTGTTTGATGTAAAGACTCAATTGTAACAAAAATATAGAAATCCTTTAAAACGTAAGCTTCATTAGCAGTCAGAGGTAAAAACTCATGTCAGTTGTTTTCATTTACCATGATTTTATACTGTAAATAATCACATTCTTATCACAGTGATAACAGTGTGAGAGTTTCAATCACTTTATTAAAACCATATTGTGACACGGACCAGAACAGTTACAGAGCACACAACAGAAATAAATACCATCATGTGTACAGCGCTCATTATCAAACAGAGTATTTGCAGCTGGTTTTTGATTTAGGTCATCCAGAAAGACAGAGGGCATGCTTTATCATCAGACAGATGTGCCACCACGGGCTGAGCTGGGTGTGCCTGTCATTGACTGTCGAGTGCAGTTCCTATAACACTCCTCCAGCTCTGATATGCAGCCAGGCCGCATCTCAGTCTGAATCCACCAGCTCCTGTTTAGCTTTGCAACAGGAGACAACCGGGCTGCTTTAATCAAGGTCCATATCGGGTTTGTTCTCCGTAGTTTCTGAGGCTGGATTCCCTGTGTTTTCAGTTGCTTCCTTCTCTGCAGGCTCCTCCTGGGGCTTCTCCTGTCCATTGACGGGACCATTCTGCTCTGCAGGCGTTTCCTCCTTGGGGAGCTCCACCTTTGGTTTGGGCTTGGTCACAATAGGGTTACAGGCAGTGAACACCTCCTGGGAAGTCAAACCAAACCAGTTAAACGATTCCCATCCATCAGCACAATAATACATTACTCGTCTCTCCACTGATCATCACTCACTGCTAAACGATTAAAGGCAGGTGATTATATTTTTGCCCATGTTCATTTGTCCTATTGCCAAATATCCCATGAACCACTGGCTGGATATTAATGAAAGGTTCAGAAAGCAATCATTACACATACACCTACTACTGACCAACTCTAATAGAATAGTCATCCACATTCAAGATGGCTGCCACAGCCATGCAAGCTTTGCAAACATAAAAATGTGTAAATCTAACAGTAATGGAGCAACAGTTTCACAAGGTCATTCACAGGATGCTCTTAGCCTGAAGACGACCTTTGTTTAAAACCCTGACATGACAAGTGGAAGGCTATCTGCCTAAGTGTAGCACTGTCAAGAGCATGCATTTGCATAATTATAAATAATTATAAATAGGGATGTCCTGATCAGGTGTTTATGCCCTCGAGTCAGATTTGTTTTGATGTTGACCATCTGCCGAGACAGAGTACAGATACTTTTGATACATGAAAAGGATAAAGAAAGCGAAGAAACAGATCCAGAATGTTTTTCAAGAACTTTGTTTTGTTATCTTGTTTTTTGTTTGTTTGACTATTTTCCTGTCCTGCCCGTCTCCGATCTTCCTGCATCTCCTCTCAGTCCTCTGGAAAAACTGCAGCCTGACTTCCTCCTTTTTCACCTCACGACTTACTTTCAAACCAAGCAGACCAAAGAGATCTACCGACAGCAAAAACAGCGGAGTGTGTGTTGTGCAGAAGTTTCAGTGAGGTGAAATCGCCAGAGAGGGTGTGAAAAAATAACAGGCAGAAATTACCAGCGAATATGAGCGGACATGCACGATCGTGTGTTAATTATACGTTTTTGGTGGCGCCGCTTTGAGAACGTTATTTACTGTGGCCGTGCGCAGGACACCGCTGCCTGCAGAGCGCATGAATAGCCAGCGCTCCTCAGCTCCGCTCAGAGGAACCCCCGTATGCTGAGAGTCCATATAAATCCTGTAATATAAGTAGAAACTATCTTTTTTCGGGCTCGTTCTGGGTGAGTACGTTCAGAGCTTCCAGGTACCGGGCTCCGCTCCCCTGTAATCTGACGTCAAACAGAGTTCGGATCGGGTCTGAAGCCACGTGATCGGGACCGATTTCCAATCACGTGATCGGATCTGGACATCCCTAATTATAAAGAAATCTGAAATTACAATTTCACATGCAAGCATTTTCCATCAGCTGCGTGGTCGTTACTCGTGGCTGTCCCAGGAGCTGCTTGTGTGATCGCTCACCCTCGTCTTTGCTCTGATGTCTTTAACTTTAGAAACTGGGTCTGCAGTCAGGCTCTGCTTGCTTTGCTGGTTCATGGCACTGTTCATCCACATCATCGCATCGGTCGCCAGCTTGTCGACCTTGTTGACATCCGCCTCATCTAAATGGTCGTACAGCTCATCCTGAAAATAAAGCCAAACGCTAACACTTTATTTCATAATAGAGGATACTTCTACTGATCCCTGGTTTAACGGTTTGCAAAGTGAACAAGTAAGAAGAGACAAAACAAGTGGGAGTGGCACCTTCATTTTGTACGCCTCAACAAATTTCATGTATTGCTGAATTTGTTTCCCCAGCTCCTCAAAAGCTTTGGGTCTGTCTTCAGCCTCCAAGTACCGCTCCAGGATGGGCTGACCCAGTTTCTGTCATCAACACAATGAACACGTTAGTTCAAAAGACCTTAAATGAGAGGAGAAGGGACAAAAATCTAATATTTACCTTCAACTCGGCCAGCTTGTCGATGTAAACCTGTTTGGCCTGGTCCTCTCCATCCTCATAAAGCCAGTTCTCAGTGTCCTCCAGCTTTAATGACAGAGCGTCTCGATCCTGGAGGAACAAAGAAGTAGTGATTCTAAATTGTTTCTGCCGTTGTGAAAAGCAAGTGAGTGGTGAACAGTCACTCACAGATTCACCAACGAACTTCTCCAGCATCCCGTGCAGCTTGTCCCTCATGTCATACACGTACTCCTCCACGTTATTCTTTGCATCATTCCTCTCCTTCTCCAGCTTGTCCTGCATGATCATCTTACCCTGCAGAGAACACAAACAGCAACTGTTGCTGAACGCGGCTCCAATCACAGAGCAGGATGTGATAACCAGGTGTGGTGCGGTAAATGTAGCCACCTCGTTTTCTACAAACAGATTCAGCATGTCGTTCGCTAGCTGCCACTGAGGGCTGTTTTCTATGGGAAGCTCCATCACTTTTGTTTTGACTTTGGCCTTTTTGGCCTGAGGGGGCTGGTCGGACTTCTTCTCACTCTTGTTCTCCTCCGTGCTCGTCTAAATATGGAAAAGAATAAGAAATGAGACTCGAAGCACCAAAGAACAGATCCAAACAAATACTGATTTATCGGTTGTTCATGTGCTTTATTCAAAAAATATACTGTATATAAATTATAATAGACAGGGCAGGGTTAATAGATTTATGTATAACAGACGATTAAAAGCTTGTCAAATATAATTATATATTTTTAAATAAAAATAAAGCATCTTACTTCCATCTCCTCACTCTCTGGCGGCGTCTTCTCTTCTGTTTCTTTTGGAGCCTCCGCCTGAGTCTGCTGCCCAGCCTGGTCTGTCTGCATCTTGTTCTGAAAAATCACCCCAAAAAATTGTTGTTTCATAACAGAAACACAAGAGGCAGCCATGTTTTTCTCTAATCGTCTCAGACTTCCGAGGAAGCTCAAAAGTACTCTGGCAGCCACTGCTGTAATACTAAATGGTTAAAAGGGTAAATGGCCCGTATACGTATAGATCCTTCTTAGGATCCTACATCCCCCCAAGGCGCTTCACAACACGATCAGTGATTCACCCATTCACACGCCTGTGGTGATGAGCTACAGTGTAGCCACAGCTGCCCTGGGGCGACTGAAGCGAGACTGCCAAACACTGGCGCCACCGGTCCCTCCGACCACCTCCAGCAGGCAAGGCGGGTTAAGCGTCTTGCCCAAGGACACAACAGCAGCATTCTCTGGTGGGAGCTGGGATCGATCCAACAACCTTCTGATTACTGGACAACCCGCTGTGCCTCCTGAGCTACTCAGGGTATCTGCAGGTTTAAGGGAGCCAGATTTAAGACTTTTTAAGGCCACTTTGACCAAATTTAAGCTTGTCGTCGTCTTCCTCCGCTTATCCGGGTCTGGGTCGCGGGGGCAGCATCCCAACTAGGGAGCTCCAGACGTCCTCTCCCCGGCCAGCTCCACCAGCTCCTCCGGCAGGACCCCAAGGCATTCCCGGACCAGATTGGAGATGTAACCTCTCCAACGTGTCCTGGGTCGACCCGGGGGCCTTCTGCCGGCAGGACATGCCCGAAACACCTCCCCAGGGAGGCGTCCAGGAGGCATCCTGACCAGATGCCCAAACCACCTCAACTGACTCCTTTCGATCCGGATCCAAATTTAAGCTATTTTTTAAATTAAATTTAAGCTATGATTTCCAGCTATTGCCTGGAACCGGTGCTAACCACGTCGCAAATGTGGGATTAGCCATCCAGTTACCATTAAATTTGCACTTCTCCATGGTGCAAGCACCCACTAGCTTAACCAGCTAACGTGCTCATCTAAAAATAGTCCCCTTTCACAAACAACTGAATGTGTACGGTTCCGCTTACGCCAACATCGTACACAAAAAATGCTGAAATTCACGAAAATGTCAGAAATAAAATAATCTAGTTTATTGGGTCTTTGGTAATTTAAGACCTTTGGAAACTGTATTTAAGGATTATTTGTCATTTTTAAGGATTTTCAAGGCCTTAAATTTGGAAAAGTAAATTTAAGACTTTTTAAGGACCCGCGGACACCCTGGCTACTGCTGCCTCCTAATCATCATCATAACAATAGTTATTAATATAAATAATTTGTCCCACCTCTGCGTCTTTGTCGCTGGCCTGTTCCGTTTCCATGGGCTCTTCCCCCTCATCAGACTTTTGCACTTCAACCAGAGAGGCGCTGGACACGCTGAAGATGCCATGAATGTTCACTCGCACCTTGACTTTCACCTTTGAGCTCTCCCCAGATGCCTGCGGGACAACTTTCTGGATCACAAACTGACCTGGAGGGGGTAAGAAAACAGCTTTACTATCTGGAAGGAAAAACAAAGGGGGGGGGGGGTGGGGGGGGGGTGCAGCTAAGCAGGTCACGGCAGGAATGTAATGGTTCATCAGTAGAAATCAGGGAGCTCCTGTTTCTTACCAATAGTGGGGTCAGGATAAGGCAGCTCGCTGGGATTACTGTAGTACGCCTCCAAGGTGAACGGCTCTTTCCGGTAGAAGGTCAGCACTTTGGAGAAAGGTGCTGGGTGGTTCTTAGGAAACACCTCACAATCACTGAAGACACAAGACATTTAGTTTATGAACGCTCGTACCCAAAGCTGCAGAAACAAACAAGGCTGTGATTTACTGTACCTCAAACCTTCCTCTGCAGCAGAATGCCACTTCAGAGAGATCGGATAAGGAACAACGTCTGTGATGGAGAATTCTCTGACTTTGAAGGCAGGAGAAAGTATTGCACACTGTGGGAATAAAAAGTGATGCTTTATTGGTGACGCATTTCACGCATGTTACAACTCCTCAGCAAGAGAGGCTGAGACGGACTGTAAAACCTGAGTGTAGATACCTGCAGGGCACATCCTCTAGCCACTGCTTCATCAGCATTCAGGGTGGTGCTCAGCTCTTTCCCAAAGAACTTGCTGATTCTCTCTTTAACAGCTGGGATTCTGGAAGCTCCGCCTATTATTTCTACCGCATAGACGTCTTCCTTTTTCAGTTCTTATCAAAGGAAAGAATTAAAACCAGTTCAAGCTCGTGCTTCTGAACAGAGTCAACAGGGCAGTGAGGGATTTCAGTCAGAATAAAAAGAGAGGAGAACTCTACTCACTGGCCTGTTCCAACAGGCTGTGCAGAGGAGGCTCAACTCGGGCCAAAATTTCAACACACATCTCTTCAAAGTGACCCCTTAGGCAAAAAAAACAAGACAACTTGGGTTTTACACACACAAAACGTCCCAGTAGCTGCAGCTAGTCTGCTGTTCGTCTACCTGTTCATGTGTCCAGAGACATCGATGTCGTTCATAAAGCATTCGATGTTCAGCGGCAGGTCGGACGAGTTGGCGCTCATTAGCTTTTTCAGTTTTTCACACTCCTGGTAGAGCCTGACCAGAGCCCTGGGCTTAGACTTCACATCGAGTTTGTACTTCTTGCCAAACTCCTCACAGAAGTGATTGACCAGAACCTCGTCAAAATCTTTTCCTCCCAGCAGCGGGTCACAGGCTGTGGCGAGGACCTGGGGGGTTCGGGAGAGAAATGATCGGATGGGGATGAAAGTAAGCAAATTACAAAATTGTAAAGTCTTGGTAGAGTGAGTATTTTAGTCCGTACCTTGAGTTTGCCCTTGTTAAAGGCACACACTGAAGTCTGATATCCAGAGTGACCCAGGTCCACAAACACCACGTTCCTGGCTTTCTCCTCCGGGGCAGGGAGGTCCTGCTTGTAGATTCCGTATGCCAAAGCAACTGCAGGAAAACAGTTAAATTATTAATACGAGTCAGACTTGAAGTGTTGCTTTGTGACTCCTTAATGTTATTCTGAGCCTAGATCTACAGCCGGCCAACATCCTCCGTCAATAAATCTTGCAGCAGACCTGCAGTTGTCTCATTCATGAGCCTCAGACAGTTGAGTCCAGCGATCTGAGCTGCATCAATCACCGATCTCCTCTCAGCATCCGTGTAGTAGCAAGGGACCTGGTCACAACAAGAGACGCTAGATTACACATCTCGCCAAAGTATTCAGACCCTCATCAATTTTTCACTCGGTTATATTGCAGCCATTTGCTGAAATCAGTTAAATCCATTTTTCCCTCATTAATGTACACACAGCATCACACACTCACTGAAAAATAGAATTTTAGAAATTTCTGCAGTTATTAAAAAGAAAACTTGAAAATCACACGGTCCTAAGTATTCAGACCCTCTGCTCAGTATTTAGTAGAAGCACCCTTTTGAGCTAATACAGCCATGACTCTTCTTGGTACAGAACAACAGGTTTCTCACTCCTGGACTTGCAGATCCTCTCCAGTTCTGTCAGGATGGATGGTGAACGCTGGTGGGCGGCCATTTTTAGGTCTCTGCAGAGATGCTCAACTGGGTTTAAGTCAGGGCTCTGGCTGGGCCATTCAAGAACAGTCACAGAGTTGCTGTGAAGATCTCACAATATGAAAAGTTGTGAGAGTTTTGAATAGCTTTTTTGAACAATTTAGTCTGTTGAGAGTTTTAACGTTTGAAATCAGTTTTTTCTTCCTGATGGTTTCTGTTGATTCAGAAAAGGGTAGAATGCCTTCTCCGGGTCAGGGATGAGTTCCTGCCCCAAGTGGAGGAGTTTAAGTATCTCTGGGTCTTGTTCACGAGTGAGGGAAAACTGGGGCGTGAGATCGATAGGCGGATTGGTGCTGCATCTGCAGTGATGCGGGCGTTGGACCGGTCTGTCGTTGTGAAGAGAGAGCTGAGTCAGAAGGCAAAGCCCTCGATTTACCGGTCGATCTACGTTCCTACCCTCACCTATGGTCATGAGATTTGGGTGGTGACTGAAAGAACGAGATCGTGGATACAAGCGGCCGAAATGAGTTCTCTCCGAAGCGTGGCTGGGCTCTCCCTTAGAGATAGGGTGAGAAGCTTGGTCATCCGGGAGGGGCTCGGAGTAGATTTGCTGCTCCTCCACATCGAGAGGAGCCAGTTGAGGTGGCACGGGCATCTGGTCAGGATACCTCCTGGACGCCTCCCTGGTGAGGTTTTCCAGGCACGTCCAACCGGGAGGAGACCCAAAGGTAGACCCAGGACACGTTGGAGGGACTACGTCTCTCACCTGGCCAGGGAACGCCTTGGGATTCGCCCGGAGGAGCTGGCCCAAGTGGCTGGGGAGAGGGAAGTCTGGACCTCTCGCCTTAGGCTGCTGCCCCCGCGACCCGACTCCGGATAAGTGGATGAAAATGGATGGATGGATGATTGTTTCTGACAGCAGCAAAATTTATGCTTCCCTTCTGACTGAATTGTCGTTGCAGCTTGTAGGTGTAGACTCTCAGTCATCCTGGACATGATCATCCTGAGAGTTTTAGATGAGAACAGCTGGACTTCTCTGGTTATGCTGAAGACAGTATGCCCTTCATCCTAGACGCTTCTTCAGTTCCCATTCTTTAGTTGTGCTCAGAAACACACACACTGATTGGGCTGCAAGTCTTTTTTTCATTCCTTCATGAAAACTTGTTTCTATTCTAAATTAAGGTGATGTTATTGTTCATAGAATTAAAATTCACAATGGAGTTCAGATTATTTCATCAAGTAAAAGCTGTGGTTAGCTGGCTCACTTAAAACGTTTAATGTTTTGGGATCCTGCCACTTAAAGACCAAGTCACCCCAAATCAACTTTTTTTCTGATGAACTATATAAATGCGTGTCTAATCGTGCTGCAGACACGTGTAGTCAATAGTTTTGCACTTTAGTGCATTTTAGTTCAATTTAAAATTTTCTGCCTAAAACTATCAGTGTTGTGATAGTTAGAAATATTAGATTAGAATAAATAGAAATTATTTAATTAATTAGCTGCGTGTTCTCCTGTCCTCCGGGCCCCCCGTTGTGAGCCTGTGTGTGTGTGTATTTGTTAGCGGCTCCGCCCTCTCGGTCTGCTAGGCAACAGCATTTGTTGCATTTTTCAAGCAGGACGTGGGAGTGGAGTATTACTCTGGTAGGGGGTGACTTGCTCTTTAAAAGAATTGGAAATCGAAACGAGGAATTGGAATCGTTTACATTCAAACTATGCCGAACCCTACAGAATACTTGGGACCTTGTGATATTTCAGTTTGTCTTTAAAGAGCAAGTCACCCCCAAATCAACTATTTTTTTCTGATATACTATATAAATGTGTGTCTAATCGTGCTGCAGACACGTGAAGTCAATAGTTTTGCACTTTAGTGCATTTTAGTTAAAATTTAAATTTTCTGCCTGAAACTGGCAGTGTTGTGCCGTTGTCAGGTAAAAACTCTTCACTGCATTTGAATTTAAATCTGCCACCACTATTGGCTAAGAGGTATGCTATGATGTAAACTGGTACATTATGATGTCACAATGTCATGAGTGTGTGTATTTGTTAGTGGCTCCGCCCTCTCGGTCTGCTAGGCAACAGCATTTGTTGCATTTTTCAAACATAGTGGGAGTGAAGTAAGTTTCTTGTAGGGGTTGACTTGCTCTTTAAAGAGCAAGTCACCCCCAAATAAACTTTTTTTTGCTGATTAAATAAATGAGTGTCTAATTGTGCTGCAGACACGTGTCGTCAATAATTTGGCCCATTCAGTGCATCTTAGTTCAAATTTAAATATTCTGCCTAAAACTGGCAGTGTTGTGCCGTTGTCAGGTTAAAACTCTGCACTGTATTTTCATTTAAATCTGCCACCACTATTGGCTAAGAGGTATGCTATGATGTAAACTTGTACATTATGATGTCACAATGCTGTCGTGAGCCTGTGTGTGTGTGTGTATTTGTTAGCAGCTCTGCCTTCTCGGTCTGCCAGGAAACAGCATTTGTTGCATTTTTCAAACATGAAGTGGGAGTGGAGTTAGACTCTGGTAGGGGTTGACTTGCTCTTTAATGACTCTGCAGAAATTTCTAAAATTCTTTGTTTTTCAGTCAGCATGGGGTGCTGTGTGTACATTAATGAGGAAAAAAAAGAATTTAATTGATTTTAGCAAATGGCTACAATTTAACAAGGAGTGAAAAATAGATGGGAGTTTGAATATTTTCTGTACCCACTCCAGATCGGCTGGAAACAGCCAACAAAAACAAGACCAAATCAGCTTTTAAATAGAAGCATGAACCATCTATTTGTGACAGGTTATATCATGTAAAAGCTGTGTAACAGGGTGTGTCTTCGTGCACACTTACAGACACAACACAGTCCGCCACAGGCTTCTTCAGTGCATTCTCTGCTGTCTCCTTCAGCTTGGTCAGCAGCATGGCAGTGACCTGCTCGATGCTGAACACCTTCTCCTCCTCCATGTACATCACCTTTGATCACAGAAACAGGTGTTCTGCATGACTCAGCTCAATATACATGATACACTGAAGTCACAGTCTAACAATACAAAAGTCCATATGATTTCTTATTTTTGATTTGCATTAGCCACAGATGTTTTCAGGTGAAATATCAGTGCCTCATCTCAGTCTTTATCAAAGGTCAACCTGTGACTGATTTTTTTTACAACTCCATACAGCAAAGGATTATTTTAACCGGCTATTAACCGTTAAGGGGTGTCAATAGCCGGTTAAAGACATTTTTATAAACGTGCATCCCTCCCTACTAAATTTATTTACTTCTTTATTTAAATGTCAGAATTTAAAGCTAATTGAAAGATTCCCACTCTTTGCTGCAGAAAACTTGAGTGTAAATGGCCTAAAAGTACAGAAAACCTTTATAAGACTGAAATTTCATGAACAAATATGACATTTTCGAGCGTGGCTGTGCTGCGAGATTCTTCTTACCTTGATGCCGGTTGTTCCTGATGGCATCTGTGCAATATCATAGACCAGGCTGTTTTTGAGGGACTGCACAAAAGGATCTGAAAATGCTCTGCCATGGAACCTCTTGAACCCCTGGACTGTGTTCTTGGAATTTGTGACAATCTATGTATGAGATGGAAAAAAAAAAACACTTCTGTATCAAGCACTAAATCAGAACAAATCAGAAATTTAGGACTTAAAGAGCAAGTCACCCCCTACAATAAACTTACTCCACTCCCACTTCATGTTTGAAAAATGCAACAAATGCTGTTGCTTGGCAGACCGAGAGGGCGGGGCCGCTAACAAATACACACACACAGGCTCACAATGGCATTATGACATCATAATATACCAGATGACATCATAGCATACCTCTTAGCCAATAGCGATGGCAGATTTAAATTCAAATAAAGTGCAGAATTTTTCCCTGACGACGGCGCAACACTGACAGTTTTAGGCAGAATATTTGAATTTTAACCAAGATGCACTGAACTGCCAAATTATTGACTACACGTGTCTGTAGCATGATTAGACACTCCTTTATATAGTTTATCAGCAAAAAAATGTGATTTGGGGTTGACTTGCTCTTTAAATGCTTTCTTCTGAGTGAATGTTGTACTCAAGTCCACCAATTTTCATGCTTGGTGCATCAAACAATTAATGGTGCTTCTTTTATTATGTTAATAATATGTCCACTGGTCCTCAAAACATTCACAGGAGAGCACACCTGACTTTTTGCAGCTGCACCAATTGATCGATTCCTGGGTCCAAACGAAACACACGCTCTGTGAAAGGAAAGTGCCATAAAATTAAATTTATAATTAAAAAGTCGACTTTTCCCGTTTCTTTTATGTCACATCAGTTGTTTTATAATGGCTATTATGTGTGTGTGTGTGTGTGTGTGTGTGATTTAAACAATCTGAAACCTCTTATTTTGTTTTATCATTCATTCACATGGAGTCCTTTAAATCTCTGTCGAGCTTTGTTTTTCCAACATGTTTTGAGAAGCTTTGCTTTTTATTTTGAAGTTCGTCTCTATATCAACCGTAATTATGAACTTTATGGATTAAATCACCTATTTTTGTGTGATCTGGGTTTTTAAACCAATCACAATAGATGGATCGAGCCGTTTTGACAACCAAGGGAGATGCTACCGGCCTCATTTTAAAATCATGTACAGATTCAATCACCTGACTAATGTGGTTAATCTTTCAAACATGTACTCCAATTAAAGTTAACAATAAATGTATAACTGTATGACGTGGGAAAACACACCTAAAAAAGAATAAATTTGATTTAGCTAGCGTTAGCTTAGGCACTCACATGCCGCTTCCTGTTGTGAAATCTGTTAGCATGCTAACTAGCTAGAATTCATCCTTAGCTCTACTCAATTTAGTGATGACCTCAGACACGATTCATTCGCCCACAATACTTTAAAGCAGCAAGAGCCAAACCACACATATGTGACTCTTCGTACTTACGGTGTGCATCGGTCGCTGTACTCGTTAGCGACAGTTTCAATCCCCCCGGCTCTTGCTACTGCTACATAGCAGTTCATAAAGCCGACGTCAAAACCTACAACCGACATTTTCCCTGCTCAAACAAACCTGTTAAGTTATAATAAAGAACAAAATAAAGTCAATTTGTACTAAAAGCAACAGCAGCTACTACGGTGGCTTCGAGTCAACAGACAGTTATCCACACTGACTCTTGTTCCATGAAACTGAGCAGCAGCGTGCGGCGAGATGAGCCCAGAGCTTTCAGGAATTTTCTGACAGTCCGTCGGTGAATAGCGTCTCACTGCAGACTCTACGACCGTGCGCCCCCTACCGTCCAGGAATGCCACTGCAAGCGTGACAGGTCGTTCTTTCATTCCTTTTTCTCTAAAGAATTTTCGTAGTTTTTGTCACTCGTTTTAGAAAGTGACAATCATGTTATATACATTTTCATGATTATGGCTTACAGAGAAGGAAACGCTAAAATTAGTTTCAGAAAATTACAATGTTACATAGGATCCATTTTAAAAAGGGTGTTTTCAACATTGTTGTCAGAATTCTAACAAGTGTTCTTTTCTCTGCATCAGTATTTAGTTGGACCTCATTTAACCTGAATTCCTGCCGTAATGCAGCATAGCATCAGCCTGCAGCACTGATGAGGTCTAGTCAAAGCCTAGGTTGCTTTGATTGCAGCCTTCTCATCACCTGCATTGTTGGTTCTGGTGTCATCTTCCTCTTGGTAATACTCCACAGATTACCTGTGGGAGGTTTAGATCAGACCAGCTTGCTGGCAAATCAAGTCCAGTAAGCAGCCTTTGGTGCCTTAGGTGGTGTGGGCAGGCACCAAGTCCTGCTGGAAAATAAAATCAGCATCTCCAATAAGCTCATCAACAGAAGAAGGCACGAAGAACTATCCCAGTAGATTTCTGTGCCGACTTTGAACTTCAGTACATTATGTGAACCGTGCATTCCTCACAAGGGTCATCGGGAACTCATTGTCTAAAAGGAGTGCCAGAAAGCCCACACATGCAAAGTAACAACCTGCTAACTCTATGCAGAAAGGCTGCAGCTGGAATTTGAACCTGAAACCTTATCACTGCAATGCAACAGTGCTACCAACTGCAACTTAGATGCAGAAGTCTGGGAACAACCATCTTTTGTGACATCTCTCTTTGAGGAAGGTGTCAATTATTGTTCCCTGGACGTGTCCAGTCAGCGGTCTTCCCACAGTTGTTTCTAAGACCATTTAGAGGCTCAAGAAACCTTTACCCAATGTTAGTAAAACTCTAAACTTATTTTACAAAAAAAAAAAATAACAGTAATAAACAAATTAAATTAGGCTTTAGATCCCCATCCAAAGGACTGTAGGGGCAGATGTTCAGTGTGACATTAAACCATGTAAGAAAGGTTTGAGCTGAAGATACTACTCCTGATACTTCATCTGGATGCTGTAAAGCCACACGGTGTTAAATAAATCTGTAAAAGGCAAGAAAACATATGGAGAATTTTTAATCCGTGTAAAATATTCCTATTTTTCAGAAAATAAAAAAGGTAAAAATGATATTATTTAAGGTTAAAGTTGAAGTATTTGTGTTCATGTAATTTGTTTTAGTTTTGATATTTACACTTCATATAAAAACTTGAACCTCTCATTGAATTTGTTAAAAAGGTTTCAAACCAGACAAGAGGGATTCAACTTAATTATTTGTTTTTCTCTTTATTGGTTGGACAAAGGTGGGGATTTCAGACAGATAGCAGCTTTTGGATCAGTGGCAGATGTTCATTCATCATTGGCATAGTCAGCAGGGTTCTTCCTCATGGACTGCTCATGGACGCTGTTGCCCCAGGTGTAGATCAGGTATGTGAGGACTAAAGCTGAAACAGAAGGACAAATCAACTGGAGTTGAGAACTAGACTCAATTTAATGTGATCAAAGTTTGATTTGTCCATATTATTCAGAAACCTCCAGCTAAATTTCAACCTGTAAAGCAAATGATATTTATTCAAAGACAAAGCAGTGGTATCAAGTAAAAATGTGATCAATTCAAAAACAAAAAAAGTCTAAAAAACTGGCAACATTTGGACAGTAAATGAAAAACAAAATTATAGTCTTTTTCAAAACTGGTACTTAATGTGGACTCTACCACTGACTCCATTTACTTTGCATCATTGATGTTTTATCTACAAATAACACAAGCCAGGAGGAGTTCTGTCATGTGGTGGAGTTGCTAACGCTAATGGTTAGCTTCTACTAGCTGAGACGTTCTCTGCTGTTTCCTGGACGCTAAACCAACAACAGCCTTCCCCGTCGTGAGTCAAGATGGGCGAGTCCATGAATGTGCAGTGGCAGTGTGACGTAGATCTGTCCGGGTTTTCTAATCCTACAGTTTCACCGTCTATTTTCTATCAGAAGCTAATGCAGGAGATGGATGTAGGAGACTATTTTCATGTTCAGCCTGCATGAAAAACTCAGAGTGACTGATTATAAATCTAAAGATGATTTTTCAGTGAAGTACCACTTTATCATAAATTAATTATAAAAGATTTTAATATTTTGATGTTTACTTAAAAAATAAATCTTATTTTGTTAAAGGAGACATATGACTTTTTTAAAAACATGGTCCCATAGGCTGTACCACTGGGCTTCAATGATCTAAGCACATTTAAACATCTTGTTTTAGGCACCTAATTCCTGAAACTAATTTCTGTCTGTCAATTTGTTAAACTGTTTAATGTAAAATAACTTATTATAGCATAAATATACAAGAACTCACGAGGGGCAACTTTGAAGAAAGATCCGGAGAACCTTCTCCATACATTGGGAATACCCTTTGAGAAGAAGTTGGTGAAAGCCCTCTGCTCAAAGGGGGACAGACTGTATGTGACTATGTGTCTAATCTTGGCTAAATCTCCAAAGTGGCGACCCATGGTTACCAGTGAGCTGATCTGTAAAAACAAGAACAGAACAAAGATAAATGTAAAATGTAGCACACATTAAAAAGGTTATTTCAACAAAAAAGTGATGTCACTCAATATTTGGGTGGGAAAATCAACAATGTGGGAGAAGCTCGCTATAATGGAGACAGTCTTTCAGCTGGAGCGGCAGCTCTGAGCGTCGTTCAGGGGAAATGTTTACTCCCAGCATCCACAACGATGATGAATCGCAAATGCAGGAAGCCCCTGCTGGCGGTTTCTACCCGCTAATCGGATGCTCCCCTAAAAGTAGGCATTAATTTGTGCCGGCCTATCAGTTCAGTGTGTGTGTTGGGTCAGTTTAACCCAAAGCGTTCTGCCAGAGGAGGAGGGGGGTCTGAAAAAATGGTTGGTTGAGCACAGAAAACACACAGGCTACCCAGATGTGGATATGCTACCAGGGCAGGTCTGTGCCGACCCAGATGTGAAAGTGTCATAAATGTCTGTCCCGTCATAAGAAGGTTTCAGGTTTGATTCCTGCTCAGTCTGTTGCTGTCATTGTGACGTCAGGCAAGACAAGACACTTTACCCTAAATGCCTGCTGGTGGTGGTCGGAGGGACTGGTGGGACCCCAGCTGTGGCTCCATTGTAGCTCATCACCATCAGCATGTGAAAATGAATGATTGTGTCGTAAAGAGGGGGGGGGGGGGGGTGTTGTAGAACACTTGAGCCCTTTTCAGATTGACATTCTGGAATATGTGTGGACAATTCAGTCCGGTTTTTAACCAGAACCGTGTTTTCAGACACACCACTTTTGTACCTGAACTTGTCCTCTCGGCTGCCTTCACACAGCAGGGTAAAGTTCCAGATGTCTGAGGGGGTGGGAAGGCTGTACCCGGATATTGTGTAAACATAGTGCGGCGGGCGTACATGCGTCATTTACCCAAACAAAGCTATTCAGTCAAACATCGCCGACGAAGAGATAGAATTCCTCTCACTGATCGGACTTATGTTAAGCATAATTCTGCGCACACGAAGACGCATAAGAGACCTGGATGATGAAGCTCAATGGCTAATAAAGGAATCAAGGCAGCGGTGTGAAGCGCTCTGTCGCACGTCTAGGAGACGGTACCGTAGGAGGCGAGCTGCCATGGTTCGCCGCATGCTACAGGAGTGAGCTACCTAGGTGCGCATAGCGTCCCCCGGTAGGGCTGACGCGGTTGAGGAACTCCCCCTGCGGTGATTCAGGGTGGCTTAATATTGCAGTGTGCGATATTATTGCAGCACTTTTTTATTGCAGTACTATCTAAACATGTTTACACATTTAAAAAAGGTTAAAAATTGCCGTGCCTTCTTTAATAACACTTTACTGAATGCAGATCAAAGGGCAGTAACAACACAGATCACAGTAACGTTTGTTTCTCCGACAGTCGGAGTCCGACTGAACTTAAAAACAACAAAATTCAGGAGAAGGTTAAACTTTTAAATGCAAATTTGGCTGCAGCATCTAACAAATAAGAAACAAGTCCCCATTTTGTTTAGTTGTTTAAAATCAAGCATAAAAAATTACATGTACCGGGCGCGGGGCACTATCATTTCACTTTCACACACACGAATGGCGGTGATTTATAGCTCGGTCACGTCCTTGTTACCCACAAGGAAAACCAGCATGTTAACCATATACGGTTTGAGAGAGGATCTGAGAGGGGTGGCAACATTTGCAGCAACACTGAAAACCCTCTCGGATGGTGCGCTCGTTGCACTAACACACACGTGCTTGCGTGCGACTGGCGAGCAAAGGGAATCTCTCCCGGTTGTTGCTCCACCATGTCAGGGGGGTTTCTTTAGGGTGGATGCATTCCTCCTGCAGGTAGCAAGTGAGCTCCAGCTCGGCTCAAACTCTCTTCGGGACAGTGGCAGAAGCAGTGCTTGTCCGGGACTTCAGCAGGCCTCCGAGCATTTATTATTATTTTTTTGCAGGTGGTGGCAGCTCTGTCTCGGCCAAGGACTCTGGCTGCGCAGCAGCTGACGTACTGAAAACCAAAGTGCTCCCAAAGGAGCGAAGCAACGTTTCGTTTTGATACCAATGCAGCCATCCTTCTCAACATGCATCATTGAGTTGAATCTTCAGTAATCGCGGTGGCCCATGATGCAGCGCGGTGGGTTTCTTCATATTGCGATATTTCATTTTTGCGGTTACCGTGACAGCCCTACCCCCCCCCCCCCCCCCGGTCCCCTCCTCCTCCCCCTCCCCCTCCTCCCTGTCCAGAACTCGACCTCACCAGTCTGAAGCAGCCACCCTGTCCGTCCTGTTATTAGGGGCTTCGTCCGGTTTAATTACGGAAAAGGTTATCCGGATGTTTATATTCAGACACAAAGGACTTAAGGACAGAGTCCCGAACATTTCTGTTTTTCATGACCTGTCTGAACGGGGCTTTAGAAGGCGCTATACAAATACAGGCCATTTGCCATAGAAGAACTGATGTGTAAAAAACAGTCAAGTCTCTGATTGAATGATTAAAAATCAACATCTAAATTCAACACACCTGATTATAACCAGTAGGTTAACAAGCTGCAGAACAGGTGACGCAACCAACAGGTGGGCTGGAGCAGGGAAACAATGAAAACATTAACAGACTGTTAATCCTATCTACATCAACATACATTACACACACACACACACACACACACACACACACACACACACACACACACACACACACACAGTAGTAGAAAGAAAGAAAACTTGAAAACTTAAGTTTAATGCGTGCTTGGCCTTCAACAGTGGTCTATAATCCAACAGTTTAGCTTTAATGTTCTGTTAACATTAACGCTGTTATTCCTATGGCCGTGGTACGAGTGATTATATTTGACTTAACAAGGCTCGATTAATAGGTTTTACCTTGGGGTACAAAACACATTAACAGTTTTAACTATCATTTCATGCTGGTAGAAACGTTAACGTGAATACTGTAAGGTAAATTAATTGACTTACAAGCCACTCGGTGTTTTAAATTACAATCAAAGAAGGTTAGAAGATGACATTTATTACAGAACGTGCGTTGCATGTTAGCAATATCAGCTTGCACAGCTAACGTTAGCCAAGTACGAACAGACCGTAAAACAAAAACCAGCGCTAAAATGCTCATTGAAAGAGGTCAAACTGTTTTGGTAAGACTATATTATCGCGGATAATTCAAATATGACATAAGTACAATATAACAGAAAGAAAAGTGGTCATTAAATCGTTTGACATTGACACTCACCGAGCTATCCTTACGTGTTTATCGAAGTACTTCCGGGTTGGTGTCCTCTGTTTGTGTGTCTCCGTGTTACTAATTGAACTCCGAGGGCACCACCGCCACCTGGTGGATAGGAGTCAACTACAGAAACCGCTTTATATTTTTTTCTGGTAAGCGATGTATGCTGGCCCTCGGTCATCAACATTTGCTTTAAACAATAATTACGGAAGTATAGCACTATGATCAGTTATGGGTAGAGGGAAAGATGAAGATGCTGCTACTGCATATCTCTTATGTACAAAACTCCAAGTATAACTAGATTTATATTGAAGTACTTGTAATTGAGAATTACTGTCTGGTAGAATCATCGACATATACATGTATGGACAATGGGTTTCCATAGCTTCCAAAAACCCGTTTTGGAAGAGAAATGGGAGGTGGCTACCACCGCCATTTTGACCGTGTCACAGGTTCTGTCAAGCCCAGACAATTCCACAAAAGGAAAGAAAGCCTGGAGCTGAAAACGCCAAGATGGCGTTCTGAGCAGTCACTTATCGTTGAGCTCTGCAAACCTAGATTTACTTTAATATATTACACACAGTGAACAGAGACTTTAGTTACGCCTATGCAATAATCATCTTTACTCCAAGTTTAAGTATTTTTTTCAACCAAAATGAGTAAACCTGAGAAGAGAAAGACCGAAACTAAGAAGCCGCTAGCTAATCAGATATTTTCAAATTTCAGATTTATTGGCCAAGTAAAATTACATTTACAAGGAATTTGTCTTTGGTAGATGTTCGCTCTCTAAAACATACAACAACCACAATAAATGAGAATAAAAATACCTAAAAACACATAAAAACATGTATACCCACACACATGTTCATTTACACACACACACAGCGCCGGCGCTCCGCACACCACGCACAGCGCGTAGGGCACCACGCCGGGGAAGGGGCACCAAACGCAAGCTTATGAAATATAATATATATATATATGATAAAGACAGATTTCAATTAGAAGATGTGCCAAAGCAAGTTAACAGCATGTTTACAGAGAGAAAACGATACAAAAAGGAAAGGAGATGGACCGTGTCCACTTTTCACTCTCTGTCCGGACGTCCGGACTGGGGGTTCTTATATTGATGAAAATGTCCGGCGTTTCATCCAGGAGCAGGGATGGGGGAGCTGTATATCCTACACATCCAGGGGACCCGGAAGAAAGTTTTCTACCTATATTACATCATTTATGGACTCTTTTGAGCAGAGAACACAGAGAGCGTCACAGCGCTGCGTTGTTGCGTAGCGATTCAGGCTGCTGCTTCCAGCGCACGGTCCATTCTCAAAGTGGCGCAGGCAAAAAACTATAATTAACACACGATCGTTCATGTCCGCTTATGTTCTCGACTTTCTGTCTTATTTGTGCCTGGCGCTCTGCTACTGCAGAGCTCATCACCTGTGTTGCGGTGATGTCACCTCACTGACGCAGCATCGAATCGCGCACTCCACTTTGCGGTCAGGAGATCCCTTTGATCTGCTCAAAAGTAACTGATGAGGTGAAAAAGTAAGAATCCAGGCAGCAGATTTTCTGGAGAGTTTAGAGGAGATGCAGGAAGATGAGAGACAGACAGGACAGGAAATAGTTAAATAAAAACAAGAAAACAAAACAAAGTGTTGAAAAGTAAAATGTAGGTAGCTTCATCTCCACTACATGTTTTTACCTGTATAAAACAATAAGTTATACACATGTAATATTTATACATTTGATACAATTCAGATCACCTTCAAAACTCAGTCACACACCCAGGGCCGTTTCAAGACATTTTGGGGGCCAAGGCAAAATGACCCCCCCCCCCCCCCACACACACACACACAGACACACACACAAAATATTAATCCTACTTTTTGGAAAATGATAAGCAGTTTGTGCATACAAGAGAATTAAAGAAAATTTAAGGTGAAGCGCTTGCACATACTGTGTTATTGTGTTGTTTTTTCTGTATGTGTGTGTGTGTGTGGGGGGGCATCACGAAGCCTTTGTGCTTAGGGCACCAAAATAGCTAGCAACAGCCCTGCACACACATATATACATATATACATACCCACACACACACACACACACACACACACACACACACACACACACACACACACACACACACACACACACACACACACACACACACACACACACACACACACACACACTCACACACATATCCATAAGCATACTGAATAAGTATTAAAAACTATAATAAAAGGATGGTAAAATAATCTACAGATTCAGGAGAGAAATGGCTGAAGGAAAGAAACTGTTCTTGTGTCTGGTAGTTTTTGTATACAGTGATCTATAGCGTCTGCCAGATGGGAGGAGATGGAAGAGAGTAGATGCAGGATGTGTGGCATCTTGGACAACATTCACTGCCTTTTTCCTGGTCCTGCTGATGTACAGTTCCTGGACAGAGGGCAGTTGGGCACCAATGATTTTTCCTGCTGTTTTAATCATACGCTGTAGTCTGCATTTGTCCATTTTTGTAGCTGACCCAAACCAGACAGTGATGGATGAGCAAAGTATGGATTCGACTGCAGCAGTATAGAAGATGATCAGCAGCTCTTGTAGTAGGCCATATTTCCTTAGTTGCCGTAAGAAATACATCCTCTGCTGAGCCTTTTTGACGATGGAGTTTATGTTTGTTTCCCACTTCAGATCCCTGGAAATGATAGTTCCCAAGAACTTGAATGAGTCCACCATTGACACTGGGCTGTTGGATATTGTGTGTGTGTGTGTGTGTGTGTGGGGGGGGGGGGGGGGCAGCACTGTGGGAAGCTTCCTAAAATCCACGACCATCTCCACAGTCTTAAGGGTGTTAAGCTCAAGATTGTGCTGACTACACCAGCCTCTCAACTTCTCGCTGATAAGCAGACTCATCACCATCCTGGATGAGCCCAATGACAGTGGTGTCATCTGCAAATTTCAGGATTTTTACAGCTGTGTCCTTAGAGGTGAAGTCATTGGTGTACAATGAAAAGAGCAGTGGAGAAAGGACACACCCCTGTGGTGTACCGGTGCTGTACTGGCTAACCAAGTAGCCAGTACAGCAGTGGTACTGGTGCTAATAGCGGTTCCGTTAGCAAACCTGCTAATGTTAGCCAAGCTACCCAGCCTTCTCTCACTCTTGAGAAGCCCGCCGACACTAAAAATGCTCTCATCGACTCCATGCACGATTATTTAGAGGCAGTTTCCAAACCTCTTCAACATAACCGGATGGAGGAAGAGTTTCCCCCTCTTCCTATCACTCCATGTGCGTCTCCCGCTGGTAAGCTAAGAAAAGTTGCGGATACGGAGACACCTACGGTTCTCTCCCAGCTCTCATCACTCACCATGCTGATTGACTCGAGGTCGGACACTCTTGAAAAAATGGTGATTGGCAACTCTGTAGTCATCTCTGAGATGAAAAAAGCTGTCCAAGAGGACACTAAACACATCACGGCGGTGAAGGAGTCGTTTGATGCTGTCTGCATCGAGCTAAACGATATGAAGGGCAGAATTGTTGATGTCGAAGGACAGCTTGAACAATATAAAGCAATCGCTGAAACACAGGAAAAGCGCATCTCCCACCTGGAGAACTATTCACACCGTTGGAATTTGAAGCTCTACGGTCTGCCCGAGAGAGAGAAGCAGGACGTCCGACAGGAGGTCATCAAAGTCTGCAGATCAGTCCTGCCGGAGGAGCAGGTGAAGTTCCCCGACGTCGTTGATACCATCCACCGCATCGGCCCCAAGAAGTCCAACAACAACAACAACCACCCCAGGGGAGTCATCATCCAGTTTACATCCAGGTTCTACCGTGCTATCTGGCGCGCTGCCAAGAAGTCCACTTTCCTGAAAGATAATAGCCTGAAGCTAGCTGAAGATCTGTCTCCTGACGACCGCGCTCAGAGAAACAAACTTTGGCCAGCTGTTGAAGCCGCGCGCAAAGCAAACAAGCTGGCGTTCTTTGTAGGAGGACGTGCGTTTGTGGAGGGAAAAGAGATCTTTCCACCTCTATAATTTGACCTAAGGTAATTGAGATTAAAAAATGAAGGTTAACTTGGTTTCATTGCTATTCTCTTATCTTATTGAATTTATAAAACGATCAGGGTTAAACTGATGCATTTCATATGTTTTAGATTTATTGGTATTGAGTTTTGCTGCAACATTTTTACAGTAATTGTTATGAACAAGCTCCTTTTTCATTTATCCGTTTTTGAATAATTTGTTATTTAAATGGAGCAAGAGAATCACTAATATGATTGCTCCTTATGTGCTCAAATGTGAAGTATTTTCTGTTACTACATTGGTTCTATTTTCTTAGGCCAGTGTATTCCTATTGTTATTACTCAAGTTCACAATTTACTCATTCAAAGGTTACAGTTCTCATCTTATATAGGACTCTCTTAAGTGACCAGGTTTCCAGTTCAACTTTTCTTCACTTACTTGGTCTAAGCCTTTACTTATTTGTCACTCTTATTTTTTGTTATTGTCCTTATGTCTCTGTCTGTTATTTCTTTAAATGCAAGAGGTTTAAGAAACAGTGTTAAACGTAAGGCTATCTTTTTGTTTTGCAAGCAATTCAACTCAGATTTCTGTTTTATACAAGCGTCTCATTCAACAGAACAAGAAAAATCATTTTGGAGCTCGCAATGGGGAGATGATCTGTGGATGTCCCATGGTACAGAACGGGCTGCTGGTGTTTGTATACTTAAAGGAAGATTTAATGGTAAAATTCTGAATTCTGACATTGATAAAAATGGTCATTACATTTTTCTAATAATTGAGGCTGCAAATTATATCTATATTTTAATCAATGTGTACGGTTTTAACTGTCAGAGGGAGAACAAACTATATTCTGATAGGCTGGAGGAGCACTTACTATGCTGGTTATCTAAATATCCCAATTCTTTTATAATTCTTTGTGGAGACGTTAACACAGTGTTTAACAACAGTTTGGACCGGTTGCCCCCTAGAACTTCAGACTCTGACTCATTTAAAAGACTGTTTGCACAAAGATTTAACTTAGTTGATTCTTGGAGGGATTCACATCCATCTCAAATAGCTTAACAAGACTCAAACCAG